GTGTCACGTGTGTGCGCGCATGCGTGTGTGTGCGCGTGCGCGCGCGTGTGTGTGCGCGCGCGCGCGCGTGTTAAGCCCCGGATCTTCTTCAGTCCTAAATCCGCCCCTGGTCATCGGGGGCAGTTCCTAGGGAGTGGCAGACCGGGGTGGTGGTCCCCATCTTTAAGAAGGGTGACCTGAGGGTGTGTTCCAACTATAGGGGGATCACACTCCTCAGCCTCCCTGGAAAGGTCTACGCCAAGGTACTGGAGAGGAGGGTCCGATCGATAGTTGAATCTCAGATAGAGGAGGAGCAATGTGGTTTTCGTCCTGGCCGTGGAACTGTGGACCAGCTCTATACCCTTGCAAGGGTGATGGAGGGGGCATGGGAGTTTGCCCAACCAATCCACATGTGCTTTGTGGATTTGGAGAAGGCTTATGACCGTGTCCCCAGGGGCACGCTCCAGGAGTACGGGGTGGGTGGCTTTCTGTTAAGGGCCATTCAGTCCCTTTACCAAAGGAGCGTGAGTTTGGTCTGCATAGCCGGTAGTAAGTCGGACCTGTTCCCAGTGAGGGTTGGACTCCGCCAGGGCTGCCCTTTGTCACCGGTTCTGTTCATCACTTTTATGGACAGAATTTCTAGACGCAGCCGTGGTGTGGAGTGTGTCAAGTTTGGTGGCAGGAGAATCTCGTCTCTGCTTTTTGCGGATGATGTGGTCCTCCTAGCTTCATCCAGCTCTGACCTTCAGCTCTTGCTGGGTAGGTTCGCGGCCGAATGTGAAGCGGCTGGGATGAGGATCAGCACCTCCAAATCTGAGACCATGGTTCTCGACCGGAAAAGGGTGGCTTGCCACCTCCGGGTCGGGGGAGAGGTCCTACCTCAAGTGGAGGAGTTTAAGTATCTCGGGGTCTTGTTCACGAGTGAGGGTAGGAGGGATCGGGAGATCGACAGGCGGATTGGTTCGGCGTCTGCAGTGATGCGGACGCTGAGCCGATCTGTCGTGGGGAAGAGGGAGCTGAGCCAGAAAGCCAGGCTCTCGATTTACCGGTCGATCTACGTCCCAATCCTCACCTATGGTCATGAGCTTTGGGTAATGACCGAAAGAACGAGATCGCGGATACAAGCGGCCGAAATGAGTTTCCTCCGTAGGGTGGTCGGGCTCAGCCTTAGAGATAGGGTGAGAAGCTCGGACATTCGGGAGGGACTCGGAGTAGAACCGCTGCTCCTCCGGATCGAAAGGAGCCAGTTGAGGTGGTTTGGGCATCTGGTCAGGATGCCTCCTGGACGCCTCCCCGGGGAGGTGTTTCGGGCATGTCCTGCCGGCAGAAGGCCCCCGGGTCGACCCAGGACACGTTGGAGAGGTTACATCTCCAATCTGGTCCGGGAACGCCTTGGGGTCCTGCCGGAGGAGCTGGTGGACAAGGCCGGGGAGAGGACGGCCTGGAGCTCCCTAATTGGGATGCTGCCCCCGCGACCCGGACCCGGATAAGCGGAGGAAGACGAAGACGAAGACATTTCAAATCTAACATGTTGGTGTTGGTGTTTTCAGGTGTTTTCTTTTTCATATCAAATAATAAAATTTATTTTATTGTATTCATAGGATTGTGTGTGTCTGCTAGACATGAAGAACCTCCTATCCATCAGTATGGATGTGCCAAATGTGAACTTGAAGTTTTTAAATGATTTCCAGCAAGAGCATGCTGAACTACATGGAGGCCGCCAATTAATTAATGTTGGAAGCTGTGGACTGCACACTCTGCACAATTCATTCAAGACTGGCTTCTCTACAGTGGGGCAAAAAAGTATTTAGTCAGCCACCGATTGTGCAAGTTCTCCCACTTAAAATAATGACAGAGGTCAGTAATTTTCATCATAGGTACACTTCAACTGTGAGAGACAGAATGTGAAAAAAAAATCCATGAATTCACATGGCAGGATTTTTAAAGAATTTATTTGTAAATCAGGGTGGAAAATAAGGATTTGGTCAATAACAAAAATTCAACTCAATACTTTGTAACATAACCTTCTTACGGAGCCACTCCTTTGTTGCCCGGGCGGTGTGTTTGGGATCATTGTCGTGTTGGAAGACCCAGCCACATTTCATCTTCAAACTCTCACTGATGGAAGGAGGTTTTGGCTCAGAATCTCACGATACATGTCCCCATTCATTCTGTCCTTAACACAGATCAGTCGTCCTGTCCCCTTAGCAGAAAAACAGCCCCAAAGCATGATGTTCCCACCCCATGCTTCACAGTAGGTATGGTGTTCTTGGGATGAAACTCGGTATTCTTCCTCCAAACACGACGAGTTGAGTTTATACCAAAAAGTTCTACTTTGGTTTCATCTGACCACATGACATTCTCCCAATCCTCTGCTGTATCATCCATGTGCTCTCTGGCAAACTTCAGACGGGCCTAGACATGCACTGGCTTCAGCAGCGGAACACGTCTGGCACTGCAGGATTTGATTCCCTGCCGTTGTAGTGTGTTACTGATGGTGACCTTTGTTGCTGTGGTCCAAGCTCTCTGCAGGTCATTCACCAGGTCCCCTCGTGTGGTTCTGGGATTCTTGCTCACCATTCTCATGATCATTTTGACCCCACGGGATGAGATCTTGCGTGGAGCCCCAGATCGAGGGAGATTATCAGTGGTCTTGTATGTCTTCCATTTTCTGATAATTGCTCCCACAGTTGATTTTTTCACACCAAGCTGCTTGCCTATTGTAGATTCACTCTTCCCAGTCTGGTGCAGGTCTACAATTCTTTTCCTGGTGTCCTTCGAAAGCTCTTTGGTCTTGGCCATAGTGGAGTTTGGAGTCTGACTGTTTGAGGCTATGGACAGGTGTCTTTTATACAGATAATGAGTTCAAACAGGTGCCATTAATACAGGTAACGAGTGGAGGACAGAAAAGCTTCTTAAAGAAGACGTTACAGGTCTGTGAGAGCCCGAGATTTTCCTTGTTTGAAGTGACCAAATACTTATTTTCCACCCTGATTTACAAATAAATTCTTTAAAAAATCCTGCCATGTGAATTCATGGATTTTTTTTCACATTCTGTCTCTCACAGTTGAAGTGTACCTATGATGAAAATTACTGACCTCTGTCATCATTTTAAGTGGGAGAACTTGCACAATCGGTGGCTGACTAAATACTTTTTGCCCCACTGTAAATGGAATATTGAGAAACTGTTAAGAGCAATGCACTTTCTTTTTCACAATGTCCCTGCAAGAAGAGAAGATTTTACAAAACTTACAGGCTCATCTCTTTTTCCACTCCCATTCTGTGGACACAAATGGGTGGAAAATCTTCCTGTTGGAGAGAGAGCTATTGAAGTATGGCCAAAACTTAAAGAGAGTATGTTAAAGAGAGAGGGTGCCAGGCGTGGACTTAAGAGAAAAGCATTGGAAGATGAGCTAGAACAGCTGAAAAAGAAAAAGGAGATATTAAGGGTGGTGTGTGTCAGCCTTCAGAAAGATGCTGATCAACTAGCTGAACAGGCAGAAAACAAACCGAGCACACTCATGGCTCAAATGATAACAAAATCTAATACTCTAAGGAAGAGATACAGGGACAAATGCAGTGAACTGACAGATGTTGAGTCAGAGCTGGAATCAAAAACTAGTGAGCTAAGGCACATGCATTAATCCTGTTGTGTGTGAAAAAAATGCTGTAGCATGTTCAATAACATGTAACATTCCATGCAACTATGTATTTGCTATGTTCCAGGCATACATTTTTTTGTTGTTATCTCAGGGTACATTATAATACATTGAGTTCTCAGAGGATTTTTTTATGTACATATATATCCGTGGATTCTCACGTGTGTTTGTTTATGGCATTAAAAAGGTTAAAAATGGCATTAAAATGGCATTAAAAAGCATTAAATTTGTTTTGCTGATTTCTGCAGAAACCCTGTAGTGGTCAGCATTTCAGTTGCACCAAAAGAAAAGAAAATACACACGTTTTCATGTAAATTCTTTCAAAGATTAGATACACGACTTTTGAATATCGATATAATTTTGCAGGGAAAACATGTCACGATATATTGCCATATCAATATGTTCAATACATGACTTTTTAATATTGATATATCGCTGGACAAATTTCACAATATATTGCGATATTGATGTTTTTGATACACGGCTTTTGAATATCAATATATCGCTGAAAAAATATCTTGATATATTGCCATATCGATTTTTTCTTACATCCCTATTTAATAATCAAGTCAAGTATTCTTTGTTCCAGACTCTTAGTCCAATTCACAGAAGTAGAAAAACGCTGTACAGATAAGATAACATGGAATGAGCACACTATGACACACTAAAGCACAAGAGACAAATAATCCTGAAAAACACGAAAAAATAACAATGGTGTGAGAATAAAGTATAAGTTATTGTAACTCCCTAATCTAAAAAAGAAAAACACTGTTATACCAGTGTTTCAACATCTTTGACTGTTAACATATTGCACTGACACAGGTATTGGTTAGATTTTAAACAATCACATTTTTAGAATTATTCAGCCTACAAATAAATTCATAAATACAATTTCAGCGTGTGGGGTGCTCCCTCTTGCATTTACAGAAGTCTCACTTGCACTTGTCCATCTAGGCTTCCTCGCATACTACATATAATTGCATTGAGTTGCTGCACCTGTGGGTGCAGCATGAAAGCCTCACAGAGATGAGACTGATCAGAGGAGCTCTTGCCTATGTGACATTTTGGTGAGGCCTTTTGGAGGTTGATTTAAAAATAAAAATACTCTTAACTCACACCATATTTCCAGACCTCCTCCTTATGTGACGTTCCCGTGAGCCGTCTCGTAATAATGGACAAACGTGAAATCTGTGGATTTTTAAAATTTTTAGTTTATTTTATTACAACCTCTTCACACGTGATCTACTTAATGAAGTGGTAATGAATATTAGAGCATTTTTCCTGGATTATAATCTCGGGTGCCATGCTAATACTGTTATTATGTCAATATTTTAAGTTTTATTCCCTTTTTGTTTGCTCCAGGAAATTAGCATTGAGGCATCACCCCGATAAAAACCCAAATAACCCAGAGGCTGCTGAGAAATTCAAGGAGATCAACAATGCTAACTCTATCCTCAGCGATGAGAATAAACGTAAAGTCTACGATGAGTACGGATCCTTTGGCCTGTATGCAGCCGAGCAGTTTGGTGAAGAGGGAGTCAAATATTATTTCCTAGCATCCAAATGCTGGTTCAAGGTGAAAAGCATCACTTTTTATTACATATTTTTGTTTGGAAGCCTGTTTGACCTAAATTCTGTTTATGTTTGTCTCCTTTAGGCTCTTTTTGTGTGCTGCGCTATTTTCACCTGCTGCTGCTGTTTCTGCTGCTGCTGTTTCTGCTGTGGAAAGTGCAAAAATGCAGAGGATGAGGAACCCTTTGCTTACATGGACCCTGAGGATCTGGAGGATGCCCGAGACCAGGAAGCAGGTAAATACCGTGTTGTTATTAGGATATTGTCCAGCTGAACCAAAACCTTGGAGATTCCTTTACTAATGGTTCGTTGAGTCTTTGTTGAGGTGTGAATGCGTAGTTAAAAATTTCAGATAAACTTCTACACTTGGCACATTTAAAGGTCTTTGACACGAAGTTTGAGATAAAAAATTTTGCAAAAGAGACGAAATTTTATGTCACTTTCTGTGGAATAAAGGAGTGACGTTCTCAAAAGGAAAATGTCAGTTTTAGAAACAGAATTTTCAGCATCTTCTGAGATTTTGTCATCTTATTGTATCCCAAAAAAGTTGGGACACTATACAAATCGTTAATAAAAACTGAATGCAATGATGTGGAGGTGCCAACCTCTAATATTTTAATCAGAATAGAACATAAATCACGGAACAAAAGTTTAAACTGAGAAAATGTATTTTTTAAGGGAAAAATATGTTGATTCAAAATTTCATGGCGTCAACAAATCAAGAATTCCTGAGCCCATTCTGTGATTTTCTGTACAGTAGAATTCCTGTTCATGGTGCAGTGTCGTTTAAGGGCCCGGAGATCACGGGCATCCCGTATGGTTTTACGCCCTTGACCCTTACGTACAGAGATTGTTCCAGATTCTCTGAATCTTCGGATGATGTTATGCACAGTTGATGATGATAACTGCAAAGTCTTTGCTATTTTTCGCTGGGTAACACCTTTCTGATATTGCTCCACTATCTTTCTGCGCAACATTGTGGGAATTGGTGATCCTCCACCCATCTTGGCCTCTGAGAGACACTGCCACTCTGAGAAGTTCTTTTTATACCCAGTCATGTTGCCAATTGACCTAATTGGTCTTCCAGCTCCTTGTTATGCCCAATTTTTCTTTTTCCGGCCTCTTATTGCTACTTTTCCCAACTTTTTGGGGATTTGTTGACACCATGAAATTTTGAATCAACATATTTTTCCCTTAAAATGATACATTTTCTCAGTTTGAACTTTTGTTCCGTGATTTATGTTCTATTCTGAATAAAGCAGTAGAAGTTGGCACCTCCACATCATTGCATTCAGTTTTTATTCACGATTTGTATAGTGTCCCAATTTTTTTGGAATCCAGATTCTATTAAGTTTTGTATTAAGATCACATTAAAGGCTTTTTCTGACTATATCCGGTTGAATCTGAACCCTATAGATTATCTTTTTATATTCTAAATCTCTTGTTTTGAAACCACTTTAGGTGTTAGAAGAGTAGATTACTTTTGATGGGACACTTTGGATTTTCTTAATGTTAAATTCTGTTTTACAGCAGACCATGTAATAGTTACAGAGCCGAGTCCTGCTGAGGCTTCAGGTAAACGTCTTTCCACTTCGTGTAACGATGGTCACTACTGTGCTGCTTAGCCTGTCTGACTCCTTATAACCGGGCCTTTCCATCTTTCCACTGGACATGTAAGCATTGCGAAACGTCCAAAGCATAGTAAGCAGCAAACAGTTGCTGTTAGAATGGGTGGGTGTGTTTCCACTGACCTCAAAGCTTTACGTTTTGTAAGCGTTCCACAAGCGTTGCTCCTATTTTTTTTATGAGCTACGCTTCCAGAATTTGTCAAGCTCAGAAGTTCAGATCAGGCCAGACAGGAAGGGAAACTCTAAAGCAGTGTAAAACATCCAAAAACTTTTCAAAATAAAAGTCACATACAGATTTTCTGGTGCTTAACCAGTCAAAAAGTAAGTGATTTCCTGTGAAACCTCCGTAGCCAAAGTAAACAGAACAGAAAATAAACGACAGACCTTTTCGGATACATGCAGTCGTCTTTTCTTGCTTGTTATTGCCTGAACTTCCGAAATCATGAGTGGTGTTGCAGTTATTGGGTTAATTCATGACTTAAAAGGATTCTGCTGCCTGGAACTCTTTTGTTGCCATTTTGCGTTTCCAATGTTTCCAGTGGGAAGCAAGTTCAATGGTATAACGTGTCTTTTTCTTTATGCGCCACTTACGCAAATTGCCGCATACACATCCAGTGGAAAGGCTGGCTTAAGCTGCATTTCTTAATAATCTAACACTCTAATAAATGCATTAAATGTCATTATATAATGCAAAACTCACCTTTGCATCCTTTTGTGCTGCCATGTGGGTCTCCACTGCCTCTATGAACCCTCCAAACATGAAAACATTCCATCCTTCTGTTTTCTGTCAGTGTTTGGTTTTAGGAATTATGTGTCTAAAACAAGCCGTTTCAAAAAGTCCCAGTTTGTGATGTCATAAATGAGGAAATTTGAATAGAACCACCTCTCACCTGCTGGAGGAGCAGCGGCTTTACTCCAAGCTTCTCCCGGTTATCAGAGCTTCTCAGCCTATAGCAGCCTGAGCAAGGTATGGGTGGGCGTGGCCAGCTTTAGCTTGTTATCTTAAAGAGACAGAGCCCTCAAACGGCTCATTCTGGAAGGTAACAAAATGTCTAGAATAAAACTGCTGAAATCACTCCATAAGAGGGACTTCTATAACTTAAGACAAAAAGTCATAATATGTCTCAAAACATTCACAACCTATTTTACTTTTCTTGTTATATTTTATTTAGTGTGTTCTTTTAAAATCAGATTTTATTTTGATTATTCCTCTGTCAACTACTAACCGCCAGTCTGGATCAGCAGTCAAAAATCTAGACAGCAGCTTTGCATAAATAAACTTCTTGTTTTGGTTAAATAATTTCTCAAGAGTACTTTTCACATTGTTTTTGTGTTTTCCATGCCTTTTGCTTTCCATACAGTTGTTTACCTTTTCTTAATTAGTTAAGAGTTATTTTACTGTACTCAAGCATAAATAAGCAGTTAAACCAACAAGCTTCCAGGCCTAAAAGTCTTACTTAACAGCTGTTTTTTTTTTGTGTAGAGTTATTAAAAAACAAAGTGTTTTAGTAAATTTTTTTAAAACTTGTTTTCATTTACGTTTCCTCCTTTAGGCCAGAATGAACCAATTGTGATCCAGCCTCATGCAGCCAAAGGGACCTCAGGCTCCGGAGAGGAAAACACAACGCCGTCGGCTGAAGAGTGACCAAATGAGTACATGAGTGAGTCTGGATCGGGACGAGGCTGGTCAGATGTTAAAGATCCAAGTTCAGGACTTCATCAGCAGCTGATTCATGTGGGATTCATTCATGAGAACATCTGTGTTTGAGCATCTTTTATTATTATGATGTTCACACAGAAAACGTGTTTTTTACTGGTCCCACCAGGTTTTGTTTAACCCAACAACTTGCCTTTGTTGTAAAATATAGATAATTTGGGTATTTGGGAAGCATGGTACAGTCGAGAGCCACGTGGATCAAAGCCACTGAACTGAGTAGATGTTTGTCTTTGTGCACTTTAAACTCACATGTTAGTATTGAAGGTTCAAAAGTTGCCACTCTGGTTTGAGAACATCTTGGTCTAGGAGTCATAAATATTTATTTATAACGATCCAGGTTCAAATTATTTCTGACTAATTATGTTGTTCTTTGGGGCTCACAGTGCAATACTGTAGATTTAAAGGTGCCAGATCTTGGAAAATCCATGTGATGTTATTTCTTCATGAAAAATACCCCCAAACCCATTTTTGGCAGACAAAGGACTTCTGCGTTGGGGACAAAACATCACCATAAAAACCAAAGTCCTGTCCATAAAGACGTGCGTAACAGCCAGCACAGGACATGTTATTAGTGACTAAACCTATGTAATAGGTTTGGTGGGTTAGTGGATAGAGCACCTGTCATGCATGCTGTTTTGCTATGACCTCACACCGGTGTCGGTACCAGATCTGCTTGGGCAGCCAGATCGGCTCGGGGTCCTGCGTCTGCACGTCACAGTAGACGACTGGCTGAACGTAAGACTTACGGAAGTTACGATACCACGTTCGTAAAACTTACGTTAGCACGTTGACGATGATTTTGTTTGGTCATAACAAATTTACGGTTGTAGTCTTAGCGGTTGTAGTCCTGTAGTCCAAAAATCAACACTTTTTGGGAGAAAATATGTTTGAATTTCCAAAGGAAATGTAAAATAAAAGCAAAGATATCAACTGATAAACGGTGACCCTCAAAAGCTCTTGGTTTTGATGAAATGGGGCAAAATAAAACATAAGAACTTTATTGAAAAGACAGCAAGCAACATTTTGAATGAATGAATGTATTTCCATAACAGCTAAAGACATATACAGACGAATTCCACTTTAATACAAACAGATATGCTTCACATATAAGAACTGTTGTGTTTTTTGGCAGTCTGGTGTTGGTTTTATGTAGTTTCACATTCGTTACAAAACATAGATAATATGGTGGTTTATTAACAAATTACAATTATGAAGAAAACATTTAAGTGTTAATAGACAAGAATTTATTAACAAAACTGCTGACGTCTTTTCAAAACTAAATGTGAAAGCCGAGTGGAATGGCCGTAATGTGACATCATCAGCAGGCGCAGGACCATGAGCCGATCTGGTACCGACACCGGTTTGAATCCTGGGCTCAGCAGTAATTTATTTTGTTATTTTTAGCTACACTTGCCATTATTATGTTTTCAACTCTTTATTGGTAAACTGTGAAATATAAGGAATCTATATATATATATTTTTTACTTGTTTATTTAGCTAGCTGCAGTCCATGTGAGTCCATGTGAGGTGAGCAGAGCAGACCATTGGGACTTCGGTGTCCCGTCCAGAGCATTGCAACTAAAATGCTGCATGGAAATGACCAAATTCAAAGATCGTTTGAGACACAAAATATTTTGCAGAAAATAAACATGAAATCTGGTTCAGCTACTGCTTAGTCTGGGAGTCGAACCCGTGGCAAGACATGGCAAAACAAAATGAAAGGCAGACACTTTATCCACTAGACCACCAAGCCCAATACAACAATAGAATTTCCTATGATGCAGCAGCCAGTTGCACACGCGTTTTGTTGGAGCAGCCGTGGGCGGAGTGCTGGTGCCATTTCCAAGGACGCTTTACTCTCATTTATTACTTTGTTGTGGCCCGTGATGCTTCGTGGGTTATATAATGAATGTGTGGAGCTCAGGCTGCTGGGGGTGTGGTTGACTGAAACGGACAGTTTCATTTCCCTCAGTAGTGCCAACAGTAAGATTTTATTACTTACTGTGCCTACCTTTGCTCTCAGAGGTTTAAAATTGCATGGACTGGCTCCTTTAAGATAAACCTCACTGCTGGGTTTTGTATTGATACTAGTTATTTTAAGTCACCTTTTGAATTAATGCTTTACTTGCTTTTAATTGGTTTTTGTTTATTTCACTTATTCTTTAACGGGTTATAGAGATTTTAAAGTTTATGAAATTAGCATAGAGATTATTCTTTGGTTGTGGCTCAGCAACCTCCTACGTGCTTTGTACAGATTAGTGTAGTGGCCTTGAACGCTGCATTTGGGCTGGTCTTATCTCAGGAAGAAGCTGGCACGTCCTTGTCTCCTCCAGCGGGAGTCCAAGGATGCTTAGTGTGGGATGGAGGGATTAAAATGGGGCTATAATCAGGAACGAGAAGCTTATGTATTTTTTTTAACATTAAACAAGAAGCCGACCTAATCGTGTGCATTTGTGAGGCGGCCATCTTTCTGCTAATCTGACCAGCTCCACATGGAGGCAGCACACAGATAAGTGGTATCTGTTAAACAGCAGAGCAGTTTCTAGTGTTTAAGCTCACTGGATGTGAGGCCGAACATCCATCTGGTGCTAATAACGCCTGTTCATGCATTAACACTGGCCGTCGGTTTTTACAGATTTCTGCTGATGGGATCCAGATGCACCAAAAACATCTTTATTGTAATTTTACTGGTAAATGTTTTGTATGTAGATTTTCAGTTTTTTCATGATTTTAATCTGGTTTTATGTATATTTGATTTTCTTGCGTTGTTCGAATGTATTCTGAACAAATCTGTAATTGTAATGTTTGTATTTAGACCATTTGCCCTGTGATGGACTGGCACTTTGTCGAGGGTGTACCCTACCTGATTGCCCATTGACCGCTGGAGATAGGCACCAGCCCCCCCGCGACCCTACATGGACAAGCGGGTTCAGACAATGGATGTATGTATGAATGGATTTAGACCATTTTAGCATTTCATGTATTTAATAAGTGCCACATGTTCTACGTGCCAAAAGTTTTAATGGGCAATTATTATGTGGGTGTGTCCCTGTTACGTCCCCGACAAGTTATGTTAAAATGTGAAGGAGGGGGTTGTCGTCGTCTTCCTCCTCTTATCCGGGTCCGGGTCGCGGGGGCAGCATCCCAACTAGGGAGCTCCAGACTGTCCTCTCCCCAGCCACCTCCACCAGCTCCTCCGGCAGGACCCCAAGGCGTTCCCGGAACAGATTGGAGATGTAACCTCTCCAACGTGTCCTGGGTCGACCCAGGGACCTCCTGCCGGCAGGACATGCCCGAAACACCTCCCCAGGGAGGCGTCCAGGAGGCATCCTGACCAGATGCCCAAACCACCTCAACTGATTCCTTTCGATCCGGAGGAGCAGCGGTTCTAAAAATTCTCAAAAAGGTTAACATCACACAAATTACCAACTATAAAAACACCTGGTAAAAACTTATATTAAAAGCTTTACCGAACCGAAGGTGTTTAAAACCAAATTCAATAAAATTGTCACCAAGTTAACCTTCAACACAATCCCTCTGGATCACTCAGAGTTAAAACTACCAAAGTTAAAACTCATCACAACGAAGGGGTTAAACCAAAACGAGACCTGGAGGACAGCAGAACCCCTGCACTGCTGCCTTCCAGACTGCTGAAGGCACAGCCTTTTTATCCAGGTGTTGGTAATCAGCAGGACTCAGCTCAGCTGTGCTCCTCAGCAGCCTGGAAGAGAGGAGGAGGTGGGGCGGTGTCAGGCTGATCGCCCATGTGATCACCGGGGCTGGGCGATCCTGGCTCCTGAATCTCACCGGCCAGGCTGGTAGCCGTAACAGTCCCGTTTTATCTAGAATCTAAGAATACTAGATTTCAAATTTTTTTTATTTTATTCAACATTCCCAAAATTTTCCTGCTGTTTTAAATGTAATAAAATGATTCATGTGGAACCAAAGCAGCGATCGTGGTTTTGTGATGTAATAAACACTGGTGAAAATATCCAGACCTTGTTGCCACCGGCTCCTGCAGCCTCCCCTCTGACAGATAACATCAGGGTTACAGCAGGTGGGTTTCCAGACAGCATGAGAATCCCGATTAAACGTATTACGGCTTATAGGGATACTACGCAACTTTTTCATAATTTCAAATAGTTTTCTTGAGCCAACATGTGCTAAAATGACCCTTTACAGGGTGAAATGTCGGAATACTGTGGCCAGAATTCTGCAATTGCAACTTCAGAGTGCTGTTACCTAGCACTGCAGCATGTTTTCTGCATGTTTTCGAACATGAGAACAGCTGATTTGTTTTTAGTGATGAACCGCTCCTCTAGAAACCAATGAAGACTGAGGAGACATTTCAGCTGTTAGATTTAGGTGGTAAAAAGACGAAGACACAAGGAGGTAAGTTTTACTTTTGCTTTGACTACAGATCATTAATAACTTGACACTAGGGGTGCTAAAAGCAAGCAAAACTACCTAGTATCCCTTTAACGTATGGATTCGGAGAAACGACTCAGACGTATCTAGAGCCTCTGATGATGCGTTTGATTCTTATTTAGATGTTTGATTGTAGATTTCGTTTTTGTTGGGAGCGGTCCAGTGGGGGAAAGGTGAAGATGTGGATGATCCATGTCGGAGTGGATAGAATTCAGAACGTGCTGGAAAAAGACTAAATAGAGACAGATCAATCGCTGTGGCGACCCCAAAGAGAAAGAAGATCCTTAAGTTGGTCATGAAGGTGGCAGATCCAGGAGGGAATGACAGAACAAAGCTAACTTGCTTGTTTTCCACGGACCAGAGGTAGGACTAATCCAGAGTAATAAAAAATGGCTAAAATAGATCTTTAAAACAGAAGAGCACTTCTAATCCTAAACACCTAGAACCAGACATCACCAATCAAACAAGAGTTTAGTAAAAGCGTTTCTCTGCTTCTGCAGATGACGATGCTGACTCAGGTCCTCCTCAGGAGTGTTATTGGTGCGTTTGGGCTGAAAACCTCCGTATTAATTCAGATTTTTAAACGTAGAATCAAATGGAAACCCACACCTGATAACCAATGATCACAAGCTGAAACTTACTTGTTTCTATAAATTTATTAAAAATGAAATCATTACAAAACAATTCACACTTTTGCTTTAAGCCCTTTGGAGAAGAGTTTTTTTTTGGCAGATGTAACAACTTTTTGTTTTCACTCAGGCTCAGAGTTGGATGGCTGGCACCTTGTAAAAAAAAAGAAACTGGTGCAAAAATTGTTTGTCTGATCGGCATCAACACGATACGTTCAAGAGCTGCAGAGGCTCTACCTCCATGGACGATAAAGCTAAATTAAGACAGACAAAAAACTAACTAAATCGCTCTATAATGCTAAGGGTGCCACTGAGAAGCAAAATAACTATTTCATTAGATTTTACTTTCCTACTCGTTTCACCTGCTGCACAAAGGCTGCAGGTTAAAACTCCTCTAGAATAGAAATAAGCCATAAGGGACATAAAGGCAGAGAAATCCGCCGCCACCCACTTAGAGTGGGTCATTTAACTCCATCGACAACAATTGTTTTAACAATTTTATTTTTCTTTTGTTTCTTTGAAACAAACCAAATGTTTAACTACAGATTAGAGCCGCATTAAGGCTTTCTAATCATTCTTTCAGCTTTGGATTTATTCACAAACAGGAAACCCGTCCTTTCTAATAGTGTCTCATCCTCTCCATACATTCAGAATCTGATCTGGTCATTCATGTCGGTGCGTTTTAGATTTAGAAATTTGGCTGAACGTTTGAAAGTTTGACTGACATGAATTATTTTGGCACTTTTCTGACCAGCGTAGCAGAATGCACGATCCACGTTTTCATTTGTCCCTCGGACTCTACAGGCACAGAGCGATAAGGGGATACAGTACAATAACATGGACTTGATTCATTATTTACTCGTTACAGAGAGCAAATAATTAAGGGTTCTTAACTGGCAGATATTCCGATGCCGTCTTAGTTTTCTCTGAGTCGGAGCAGACCTTTAAGAAACTAAACTAGTCATCAGGAGTGTTTTGGGTTGAGTTACCACAGAGGTCCTTCGCTAGGGGTCCAGGCCTCTCTGGTAGTTCCTGTAGGCCTCCTGGAACATGTGCTTACAGCAGATTTTAGCTTTTAGTTTGGAGCAGATGAGGAAGGAGCCGCCCATCTTCCTGTGGAGGGAGTAGGTTTCCTCCGGCGGGGGCGTCAGCCGCTCCCTCAGCATCACCGGGATCAGCTGGTGGATGCGCTCGGTGGTGCTCTGCTCTCCGAAGTCGAAGGCTTTTTCTGAGGAGAAGGCCTCTCCGAGGATCATCACCGCCTCCACGTGGGCGTTCTCCATCGCCTTGTAACAGAACAGAGCGAGTGAATAAGGCCGTTAGTTTAAAACCTTCAAACGTACGTAAAGCTGCAGAAACGTTAGGCTGGATTCTGATCAGAACAGATTCTCAATTCAATTCAAAAATACTTTATTAATCCCAGAGGGAAACTGATTGCTGTAGTAGCTCAGAATAATAATAATCAAGTCATCAAAGAGTTGTTGTATATTACAATGGCTGCTGGCAGGAAGGATCTCCAGTAGCGGTCAGTGTTGCAGTGAAACTGAAGAAGCCTCTGACTGAAGACACTCTTCCGTTGTCTGACAGTCTTGTGAAGAGAATGCGCAGGGTTGTCCGTTATTTTCTTGATTTTCTGGAGAATCCTTCTTTACATTATCTCCTCCAGTGGTTCCGAAACTGCAGAAACTCTGGCTGAGTCCTTGAAAGGGCTTGGAGTTCCTCCATCTTGTTGGCCAGTGATCTCACATTGCCCATTATGATCGATGGAAGAGATGGTTTGAATTTCCTCTTTCTCTGTCTCCGTTTTGCTCCCGCTCTGCATCCACGCTTCCTGCATTTAAGCTCATTTGGGATTTGTGGCTTCAGTTGAGGTGTTATTTCAGCCTTTCCAATGTTAGATCAGCTGCTCCCCATTGTAAACAGCTTGTTGCCATGGTTACGCATCATAACAAATGCTCAAAAAGTGAAAAAAGTTAAAAAATAGCAGTAAAAATCCTCCCAGCTTCACAGCACCAGAAACAGAAAAGTAAAATGTCCAAAAAAAAATACAGTTTTTCTTGAGAAACTAGAAGAAAAAATGTCCAAGAAAAGGCAAAACTTACATATAGTCAACAGAGCTACTCCAACATGCAGCCGCCCAGAGCAGCGCAGTTCCGGAAAGGAATGACTGACCCAGGATCTGTTGTGTCCACAACTTCACACACACCAGACTGTTGGGCAGGACTGGAATTCTTGAATTTTGTTGAAGAAAATCAGAAATCTAAATTTCTGCCAGAAAAATCACAACTAAAACCGTTCAGCCCTAATAAAATCAATCAAGACCTTTGATGAGATCTCATCTCCTACAGCGATCTCCGGGGACCGCGGTAAAAACGTGCACAGGTTAAATGTAGCATAGCATGGCAGTTTGTTTAGACCCTAATCACCTCCTTAAATAAGTCAATTCTGGAAGTAAAAGATTCACAGAGTTCCTGTTTTTACTGATTTGGTCTCATCAGGTCAAACATTTGACCTCTCACTATTACATCATTTGAAATAAAAAAATAAATTAAATGAACAGAATAAGGTGACGACGTGAGCTGTCTAACAGGAAAACGTTTTTAAGTTGAAATGAAAGTTTAAAAAAAAGGCAGAAAGTAGGAGGAAATAATCTGTTGCTGTAATTCAATCTGTGGCCCACTAGGGGTCAATAAATCCCCAAATGTGATGAGATGTTTGACAGCAGCTCTGTTTTTGTTTGTGGATGGTAAAGATCCTGGTGTGGGTTTGGTTTTTACCTTTGACTCGAATCCCGTGAGGAACTTCATGTCTCTGGATCTGAGCAGGACTTTTTCTCGGTCCTGATCTGCAGCCGCCTTGATGACCTGATGGGAGAACAAAACCGAAGCAGACAGAACTTCAGAATCATGGTTTGTTATAAAAGAGGATATTAAGAAAGGAAGGGAAATTATTTTAATCTGATGTTTTTTTTTTGTAAGTTTATAATCATGAATCTCAAAATGACTTAATTCCCTTTATAATTCTCAAGAGGAGTCACCTCTGTGGACACATTTCAATAAAGTATTTTGGGATTTAAAAAGGAGTAAAACATTTAATATTAATATTAGGATTTCATTTTCCAGAACCTAAAACGTAGATTTGAGACTGATCCTCACATCAATCCACACCTTCAGGAAAGCGGTCAAAACATCTTGAACCGACTGAAAAACGAGCTTTGTTAACTTTTCAGGCCTCCACCAGCCCACCACTGCTTTAGAGAACAGCCGATGGTGCTAAAGGACTTCAACATCACCAAATAATTCCAGGTCAGAGGAACTTGCAATGTGCTTAATCTAAGTAATTAGTGAGAAAGCTCGATAAATAACAGAACGACTTGTTTACAGCAACCGGTCAGACCAGATCAGAGGAGCGATACCAGAGCGGGCAACTCTCCTTCACTAGTTAATTATTGTAAAAGCAGACAACTCTGGTTTCCATCAGAAGTCTGGCTGTTCCTACTTATCCTGCATTCCGGCTAATCTGGACCTAAACAAAGAGCCGCGTTGTTCATCACGCTGACCAGTCACGTCCATGAACGCTGGATAATTCACCGTCTGTACGCTGGGTTTGTGGGTATGCATCTATGGAGCGGAGGTCTTCCACACAACTCTTCAGGAAAACTTTAGATCTGCTTCATTTTGAAGGTCTTTATGTTGCGTCCTTCTTTAAACTTTAGATATTGTCATTAGAAGAGAAGAGGAGTTGCTTCTTGTAATTAGAAATCTTGGATCTTGAGACAAAAGTCCCCAAACCCTGCAGCCTGCTGTCATTCTAGCAGGAAAAGAAGCAAACACACACTTTTCTACATCTGCTCACCTCGATGTAGGCGTCAGTGAAACTCTTGTCAAACTCTCGCGTGGCTCCAAAGTCCAACAGGGCAACCTGACAACAGGAAAACAAACCACATCCCAGTGAGAGGAGGGAGCCTCAAACTTGTCGTGTTTGTTTTGCTTTGAATTAAACCCACCTTGTGAAGTTGTGGATCATAGAAGAAGTTGGACCAGTTTGGATCCGTCTGCATGAATCTGAACTCGAAAAGTTCTCTCAGGCACAAAATTAGGATCTGCTCGCAGATCTGGCAGGAGGAGAGATGAAACGAGTAAACTGAAACGTCTCCTCTCTGCAGAACTGTCAGGGTGGTTCAGCGAGCTCCAGGTCTACCTCATTCCTGAGCTCCTGGGGGAGATCCGTGGCCCGGTCCAGGGGGAAACCAGACACCAGGGTTGTGGTGAAGACGCGCTCGCTGCTCAGCTCGTCAATCACGTCAGGCACGTAGAAGAAAGGGTGGTCCTTCAGCAGCTCTCTGACACATAAGGAAGCCTGTTAGTGAAAATCTCCCAAACTGTTGTTGTTTTTCCTGTTTGGCTTCATGCCAACAAGTTAAAACTGTTTGTAGCTGCAGAGCAAAGTCGTACATGTGGAGTAATCAATCATAACCCAACATGGTCTCCAGTTTGAGCGCTGCACCACCTTCCCAGGGAGACCTCGCTCCTCTCCTGCTAATTACTTCAGCGTTTCCTCCAAAATAAGAGCCTCCTGGACTATAAAAGCACAGCTAGAGTCCTCCTTCAGAGGAAGGAGGCCTTCAAACCTTATCAACGTTTGATGGTTTGGGACACCGTGGAAGTAAATCTGTAAAATTCTGTCAATTTACATCTCAGCAACAAGGTTCCACTCCTCTTCCCATTCTGTCCCGCTCTGAACTTGAGACAGTTATCCACACCTTCATCTCCTCACGCTTAGACTACTGTAACTCTCTTTTCACGTGTCTGAGCAGAACCTCCCTGAACCGTCTACAGGTGGTTCAGAACACCTGTGCTCGGCTTCTGACCAAGTCCTCCAAACACCCACATCACCCCGCTTCTCCTCCAGCTTCACTGGCTGCCAGTCAACTTCAGGGTTCATTTCAAGATCCTGGTTCTGGTCTATAGGGCCTTACATGGACAAGCACCATCTTACATTGGTGATCTTCTTAGTCCCTACACCCCCAGCAGGTCCCTGAGGTCCAGTGATCAAAGCCTACTGGTTGTGCAGCACCAGGCTAAAGACCAGAGGTGACAGATCATTTGCTGCTGTGGCCCCCAGACTCTGGAACTCTCTCCCCCTGAGCCTGAGATCAGTGGGCTCAGTGGTCTCCTTTAAAAAGCAGCTGAAGACTCACTTGTTCAAGCTGGCTTTTGTATGACCTTCTTCACCACTCTCTCTTTATTCTGCTCTCCCCACCTATTCCACCTTCCTCAGGATCCACTGATTTCCCTCTTTCCTAGTCACTCTCTCTCTTTCTTAACATTTTTTAATCCCAATTGCCTATTTTTTGCTCATTTTAAATATATTTTTGAAACATTTTCTAAATTCTTTTTTATATTTTTACATTTTTTTGTTTTTGTGAAGCGCCTCGTGATTGTTATCTTGAGAGGCGCTATAGAAATGATACTTTCTTCTTCTCTTTAAATAAAACAAAAACAAAAAATAAATAAAACTAAAGACAGGAGCTGTTGCTCTGACGGAGCACCATACGTACCAGAGCAGCATGCATGCAGTTTAAGCACATTCAGCAAAAACTCCGCTATGTTGTGAAGATGCCGTCAGTTCAGCATACAGTCAACAAAGTCATACTGTTGTTAAAAACAACGTGTATGATGATCTGACGGGTCAAACGGGCCCTCGGGATGTCACGCGATTACTAAAACAACGTGTATGATGATCTGATAAGTAAGCTGGCCCATCAAAGTGTCACACAGCTTAAAAAAACCTGTGATGATCTGACAGCGTATGTGTGTTGTCAAACGTGCATGTGCTGTAATACGTGTATGCCCATCTGACAACGTATGGTGATTGGGCAGAACACCGTTACCATCTGCAGTTTTCATTTAAAAATTTCGCCTCATTTAAATCTGTTCAGGATCGACTTTCATCAATGTTTTGTGGAGATAAACACCAAACTCCACCTCGCTGTGATTACTACTATACGGTTCACACGTTTCACTTCTCCAAGCTGCTGAACCGGTGACCTGATCTAGGAAAGGAACACAAACAGAACAGATGCTGCTTGGTTCTGAATTCGGCATCACAGATATATAGAACGTTTGATAAATAAGTTAAAGACCATAAAATAAAGAACATTTGTTTTTTTAGAGGGTAGAAGGTAACTTTTCCACCTCTAAATATCCTCCGGCAGTGGAGGGGTCAGCTAATGCGAGGTGTCCTGTTTGGTAGCTCTGAGCAGGAAAAGCTGCAGCATAAACCAAACGTAGAACTAATCTGTAATAATTAATGATTTTAGTAAGAACCACCAGGACTGATAGGAAACGTAAATGTGAAACCCTCCTGTTGTAGGAATAATGCAGAACTTACTGAAACTTTCGGGCACATTTAGCCTCTCTTATGTAATCACACTCCAGGGCCAGTTCATGACTCATGACCTCGATCAGATGCTCGGGGAACAAACCTACAACCAAAAGATTCAAAGCAAGAGCAGAAAATCACGGCTTTCCAGGAACGGTGGGAGGTTAGCATATAGACATTAGCAGATGTGATCCAGTCACACAATAGCCGCTGTTATCAGAGGAACGATAAAGAGCTGCAGAGGTTTTACCTTGAGGCAGAGCGTTGCTTAAACTCAGAGCCGTCATGATGTTACGAACGTCACTGTTGATGCTTTTGGCAATTCCAGGGTACTGATGGGAACATGGAGTTTGTTCTCTTGAGTTTCTTGGATTATGTCACAGTTGAAGGTTGTTTTTGTGCTGCGCTCACCTGGATCTTCATGGCCACTTCTCTGCCATCCTTCAACCTCCCTAAGTGCACCTGACCGATGGAGGCAGCTGCAAACGGCTTCTCCTCAAAGTACTCCAGCTGGTCCCTCCAGTTCGGACCCAGATCGTTGTTGATGATTTTCTGTGGGTAGAAAAAAACAGGATCTGATATGCAGAGGGAACCGGTGGCTGTGTTTAGTGATCAGGACTTCAGCTCAGACTGTACCATCATCTGCTTAGAGGGCATGAAGTCAGCACTCTGACGAACGCGCTCGAAGATTTTAGCCAGCTGAGGGTTCATGAAGGCGTCGTCTGGTGGAGGAGAAAACAAGGGAAGATAGGAAAAGCTGAAACTGGATCACATGCAGAGCTGGAAATTTCTGCTTGAACATGACCTGAAAGTCCTCAAAGTAGATAGAAAGAACCCAGTTAAACAGATAGGGAGAACCCAGTTAAACAGATAGGGAGAACCCAGTTAAACAGATAGAGAACCCAGTTAAACAGATAGGGAGAACTCAGTTAAACAGATAGAGAACCCAGTTAAACAGATAGGGAGAACCCAGTTAAACAGATAGGGAGAACCCAGTTAAACAGATAGAGAACCCAGTTAAACAGATAGGGAGAACCCAGTTAAACAGATAGAGAACCCAGTTAAACAGATAGGGAGAACCCAGTTAAACAGATAGAGAACCCAGTTAAACAGATAGGGAGAACCCAGTTAAAAAGATAGGGAACCCCCTTAAACAGATAGGGAGAACCCAGTTAAACAGATAGGGAGAACCCAGTTAAACAGATGGAGAACCTAATTAAACAGATAGGGAGAACCCAGTTAAACAGATAGAGAACCTACTTAAACAGATAGGGAGAACCCAGTTAAACAGATGGAGAACCTACTTAAACAGATAGAGAACCCACTTAAACAGATAGGGAGAACCCAGTTAAACAGATAGAGAACCCAGTTAAACAGATAGGGAGAACCCAGTTAAACAGATGGAGAACCTACTTAAACAGATAGAGAACCCACTTAAACAGATAGGGAGAACCCCCTTAAACAGATAGGGAGAACCCAGTTAAACAGATAGGGAGAACCCAGTTAAACAGATGGAGAACCTAATTAAACAGATAGGGAGAACCCAGTTAAACAGATAGAGAACCTACTTAAACAGATAGGGAGAACCCAGTTAAACAGATGGAGAACCTACTTAAACAGATAGAGAACCCACTTAAACAGATAGGGAGAACCCACTTAAACAGATAGAGAACCTAATTAAACAGATAGGGAGAACCCAGTTAAACAGATAGAGAACCTACTTAAACAGATAGGGAGAACCCAGTTAAACAGATGGAGAACCTACTTAAACAGATAGAGAGAACCCACTTAAAAAGATAGGGAGAACCCAGTTAAACAGATAGAGAACCTACTTAAACAGATAGAGAACCCACTTAAACAGATAGGGAGCACCCACTTAAACAGATGGAGAACCCACTTAAACAGATGGAGAACCCAGTTAAACAGATAGAGAACCCACTTAAACAGATAGGGAGAACCCAGTTGAACAGATGGAGAACCCAGTTAGAAAAAGATGAAAAAATCTTTCACTTGGTCATTTTGTTATTGATGAAAATGGTTCCATATGAAATTCTCCGTTTGTGGTAAAGAACACGGATGTTTAAGGAAGCGTATCATGGCGGGAACAGACTACGGAGGACCTCAGCAAAGTGTTGATGATGTTCATCAGACTGGGAAAAGCTATGAAACCATCTCTGACTCCCCAATTCACATGAAGAGCGGTTGTGTACTAATGGAGGGAATAAAAAACTATTGTTACCCTCCCCAGGAGTGGTGAGGGACCCATCTGTCACGTTACGAGCCGCTAACACATCTGGTAGAAAGCTCAGTAAAAGAAGAATTCTAAATGACCTGATTTTCGTGAAAGAGGTTTATAATTTCCTTGGTTCTGCCACAACTAGCCAGCGGGTAGATGTGTAAGCTGGAATCTGGGAACAAGTTGAGGCAGGATTCAGGAATCTCCTTCAGACATTAAGTCTTTTTCACATGACACTCACTTGACTGAATCATCACGAGGATGGAGATAAAACAACAAGCGTGCTGACGGACCTCTGAGTCGGTTAAAACTCTCTCGCCCAGAACAGCTCAACTGGACTGGGAGCTGGGCCCGTGATGTGGAGCTTTGTGATTCAAACGTTTTCCAGTCTCCCTCACCCTGAATACTGAGCATCTGTCCTATTTTCAGAGCGGCCCCCCGGACTTTGCAGAGGGTTCGGACGATCCTTTCAGCGTTAGCTTCAGACAGGAAAGGATTGGAGTCCAGAACGGCCTTTTTGCTTCCTGAAAAAACTGGAAAAGGAAAACAAACAGATCCTTTAAATACAGATGGTTCACAAATAAGTATTTAAGAAAATATAATGAGTTTGTCCCACCTAACCCAAGGATTTGGAGTTAAAACAGATATTTGACCTCTGGAATTGCTAACAGATTTCTGGACCAAATAATAATGCCGATTTTCTCATGTGTTCAAATATTCAGCAGCAGTGCTAGGGCTGCATATCACATCGCAAATGTATCATCATCACGATATCAGCATATGCAATACGCGTATCGCAAAGAACAGAGAAAAACGCAATGAATGGTCAGCCCAGATGTTTGCTACAAATAATGCATTTTGTCAATCAAACGTAAGCATGAAGTCATCGTCGTCGTCTTCCTCCGCTTATCCAGGTCCAGGTCGCGGGGGCAGCATCCCAACTAGGGAGCTCCAGACCGTCCTCTCCCGGGCCTTCTCCACCAGCTCCTCCGGCAGGACCCCAAGGCGTTCCCGGACCAGATTGGAGATGTAACCTCTCCAACGTGTCCTGGGTCGACCCGGGGGGCCTCCTGCCGGCAGGACATGCCCAAAACACCTCCCCAGGGAGGCGTCCAGGAGGCATCCTGACCAGATGCCCAAACCACCTCAACTGGCTCCTTTCGATCCGGAGGAGCAGCGGTTCTACTCCGAGTCCCTCCCGAATGTCCGAGCTCCTCACCCTGTCTCTAAGGTTGAGCCCGGCCACCCTACTCATTTCGGCCACTTGTATCCGTGATCTTGTTCTTTCGGTCATTACCCAAAGCTCATGACCATAGGTGAGGAGTAGGACGTAGTAGATCGACCGGTAAATCAAGAGCCTGGCTTTCTGGCTCAGCTCCCTCTTCACAACAGATCGGCTCAGCGTCCGCATCACTGCAAATGCCGAACCAATCTGCCTGTCGATCTCCCGATCCTACCCTCACTCGTGAACAAGACCCCGAGATACTTAAACTCCTCCACTTGAGGTAGGACCTCTCTCCCGACCCGGAGTTGGCAAGCTACCCTTTTACGGTCGAGAACCATGGTCTCAGATTTGGAGGTGCTGATCCTCATCCCAACCGCTTCACACTCGGCCGCGAACCTACCCAGCAAGAGCTGAAGGTCAGAGCTGGATGAAGCTAGGAGGACCACATCATCCGCAAAAAGCAGACACGAGATTCTCCTGCCACCAAACTCGACACACTCCACACCACGGCTGCGCCTAGAAATTCTGTCCATAAAGGTAATGAACAGAACCGGTGACAAAGGGCAGCCCTGGCGGAGTCCAACCCTCACCGGGAACAGGTCCGACTTACTACCGGCTATGCAGACCAAACTCACGCTCCTCTGGTAAAGGGACTGGATGGCTCTTAACAGAAAGCCACCCACCCCATACTCCTGGAGTGTCCCCCACAGGGTGCCCCTGAGGACACGGTCATAAGTAAGGCTGCACAATAAATCAAAAAATTATCATCATCGCGATAACAGGATGTGCGATAGGCCATCGCAAAGCATGCCAAAAACGGCAATAAATGTTTGGTTCAAACATTTCCATCTGTGTGATACATCAGCTTTTTGTAAACCAGCTCTGTTTTTTACGCGGAAGTATTATTTGACCAATCAAACGTAGCCCTTCTGTTACGCGGCCAATCAGATAGATCAGTTCACGTAATACGCCCGCCCCCTAAGTAGACCCTTAGGATGGAAAGCAACAACGCCCGAACTGAGTAAGCGGTGCTGTTCCCTTGTTCGTCATGCTGGCTCAGAGCAACGAGCGCACTTTGTGCTGAGGTTTCTTGAATCAGTGCTGCTTTCAAACGTGAACGTGAGTCCGCTCGGTGTCATTAATCATTTTTACCGGGCTGACACGTGCCGGTGAACCAACCCACCTTCATGTTGCTAGTGTTCCACCGGGTGGTGATGTTAGCCCCAGACTCCAGTTAGCTTCCAGCTAAAAGGCTACAGCACTCTCCTTCCTCCCAGTACCACCCTGCTAAAGAGGGCCTGGAAAAATTCCCCCACACATCAAAGTGATTTTTCATTTATGAGCTTTTATAACCTTGTTAATCAGGATAGTTGATTTGTTGCTGCACATAAACTGTCAGTCAGAAGCTAGTTCAATTTGTTAGCTTGCTATCAGAATCATAGTTGCAGTTTCATCATCTGAGCTGCTTTTTAAGATCTAGGTAAACTTGTTCAATTTGGGGTTAAAAACAAACGTTTTCACATATTTTCCATGTAGTTTTTTGCCATTTCCTCTTCTGAAAGGTAGACAATTGTTTTTCTCTTTCCCTTAAAAAATCTTAATTTTCTCCTAGTTTGGCCCGGCACAGTTCACTTTCCAATTGCAGCAACAGCCTTATATCATAACCACACAAGTGGACAAAATGTTCAGTAGCAATGAGAGAATTTCCTGTTGCATGTAAGTGATGTTAAATATTATTTAACATTTAAACTTATTTTCAGATTTTTTAATTTATTCAAAAAACCCTGGTAAGGGATGTTTTTCTGTATTTGGAGCATCAGAAAAAGTTTTATAGTGGTGGTGATGTTTTAAAGTCACTGAGAAACTGCATGCATGCAGTTTGTTGTTTTGCTGCTAATACAGTAGCAGGTGCAGCTGCATATTCTTTCAATAAAAAATGTTATGTTGTAATGGAATTCATGCATTAGTTTTTGTTTGCTTTGAACCCAGAGCAGACGTCACACGCCAGACGACATCAACACTGCATACTTTAGTATTTGTTCATTTATCACAAGTAATATCAATATCGCGATATTAAGCACTGTTATTGAATATCGCAGGTTTTCCTAATATCGTGCAGCCCTAGTCATAAGCCTTCTCCAAATCCACAAAACACATGTGGATTGGTTGGGCAAACTCCCATGCACCCTCCATCACCCTTGCAAGGGTATAGAGCTGGTCCACAGTTCCACGGCCAGGACGAAAACCACATTGCTCCTCCTCAATCTGAGATTCAACTATCGATCGCACCCTCCTCTCCAGTACCTTGGAGTAGACCTTTCCAGGGAGGCTGAAGAGTGTGATCCCCCTACAGTTGGAACACACCCTCAGGTCACCCTTCTTAAAGATGGGGACCACCACTCCGGTCTGCCACTCCACAGGAACTGCCCCTGATGACCAAGCAATGTTGCAGAGACGCGTCAACCACGACAGCCCTACAACATCCATAGCCTTGAGATACCCAGGACGAATCTCATCCGCCCCTGGTGCTCCGACGCTGTGTAGTTGTTTGACTACCTCAGCAACTTCTGCCCCCGAGATTGGACAGTCCATCCCCAGGTCTCCCGGCTCTGGTTCCTCCTCGGAATGCGCGTAGGTGGGATTGAGGAGCTCCTCAAAGTATTCCTTCCACCGTCCGACTATAGCCCCAGTTGACGTCAGCAGCTCCCCATCCCCACTGTAAACCGTGTGAGCGAGTTGCTGCCTCCCTCTCCTGAGGCGCCGGACAGTTTGCCAGAACCTCTTTGGAGCCGATCGATAGTCTTTCTCCATGGCCTCACCAAACTCCTCCCACGCCCGAGATTTTACCTCAGCAACTGCCACTGCTGCACCCCGCTTGGCTATCCGGTACCTGTCTGCTGCCTCTGGAGACCCACAGACCAGCCATGCCCTGTAGGCCTCCTTCTTCAGCCTGACGGCTCCCCAAACCTCTGGTGTCCATCAGCGGGTACGGGGGTTGCCACCATGACTGGCACCGGCCACCTTGCGACCACAGCTAGCAACAGCCGCCTCAACAATCGCAGAGTGGAACAAGGCCCACTCGGAGTCAATGTCCCCCACTGCTCTCGGGACGCGGTCAAAGCTCTGCCGGAGGTGGGAGTTGAAGACCGTCTTGACAGGTTCTTCTGCCAGGCGTTCCCAGCAGGCCCTCACTATGCGTTTGGGTCTGCCAGGTCTACGCCTGCCATCTGATCCAACTCACCACCAGGTGGTGATCAGTTGACAGCTCCGCTGCTCTCTTCACTCGGGTGTCCAAAACATACGGCCGCAGGTCAGATGATACGACTACAAAGTCTATCATCGACCTGCAACCTAGGCTGCCCTGGTACCAAGTGTACCGATGGGCATCCTTATGTTCGAACATGGCGTTCGCTATGGCCAAACTGCGGCTTGCACAGAAGTCCAATAACGAAACACCACTCGAGTTCAGATCAGAAGGGCTGTTCCGCCCAATCACACCCCTCCAGGTCATGCTGTCATTGCCCACGTGAGCATTGAAGTCCCCCAGCAGGACAATGGAGTCCCCTGATGGAACACTATCTAACACTCATCCCAGGGACTCCAAAAAGGGTGGGTACTCTGAAATGACATTTGGCCCATAAGCACAAACAACAGTCAGGACCCATTCCCCAACCCGAAGGCGCAAGGATGCTACCCTCTCGTCCCCCGGGGTAAACCCCAACACACAGGCAGAGAGTCTTGGGGCTAACAAAAAGCCAACCCCAGCCCTCCGCCTCTCACCCGGAGCAACTCCAGCAAAGGAAAGTGTCCAACCCCTCTCAAGGACTTGGGTTCCAGAGCCAATGCTATATGTCAAGGTGAGTCCGACTTTATCTAGCCGGGACTGCTCAACCTCTGCCACAAGCTCCTGCTCCTTCCCCGCCAGCGAGGTGACGTTCCATGTCCCAAAAACCAGTTTCGTTGTCCGGGGATCGGACCGCCAAGGTCTGCCACCCGATCCACACTGCACCGGACCCTTCATGTTCCTCCTGCGGGTGGTGGGTCCACAGTTGGATGAGCCCATGTATCCGGTTCGGGCTGGGCCCGGCCGGGCCCCATGGGCGAAAGCCCGGCCACCAGGCGCTCGCTCACGGGCCCCAACCTTAGGCCTGGCTCCAGGGTGGGACCCCGGTAACCCTCCGGGCCGGGTACTCCGACTCCTTGATAGTTCATCAATGAAAGATCCTCTGAACTTCTTACTGGTCTGATCCACACCCCCTAGGCAGACGGCACTTCATTTGGGTGGCTAGCAAACACCTGAGTTAGCTTTGTTCTGCTCTTTCTGCTGATACTGCTTTTCCCAGGATCCATTGATTGCCTTTTCTTATTGATTTCCCTATCCTTGCATCTTTTGATCACAATGTTTGCTTTTCCCATTTTTCATGATATTTTTTGTCCATTTTAAAATGTCTATGTTTTTGATTTTTTGATCTTGAGTTAAGTGTTTATTTGTTGCAGGTCATATCGTCATGACAATATTAATCACTGTTAATGTGCATTGCAGGTTTTCCTAATATCGTACAGCCGTAAGCTGTCCAACAGCAGAAATCCACCTACAATGTGAGTTTTATACCCCTCCATGGGCACAAGCAGGCACAAGGAGAGAAGTTTGAGAATAAAACAAAGTATTTGTCTTTTATTTTTCAAATTATTTTAATTTCCTGCTAATGGGACCACAAACCCCCACTGACTTCTCTTACCAAACCCAAGGATGGACACAGACGACCCAGCTTTTTTTTTTAAAATAAATGCTAAAAAGAAAGTTATTGAGAAAAATCCATGTTCTTGGGAAACGAGACATTGCAGCAGCAGCAGGAATGTCTTACCTCAGATAGAGACAGAACACATTTCTACCTGCTCAGAGTTTATCAGTAAACACGTCAGAACTGGGACTCAATCAGAGGAAGGCACATCGTGTCCAGAATATGATCCGATCCCATCATTAAGTCTTACGTTCCTTCACACCTACTTCAGCTTTGATGCATTTATGTTGTTTCACATTAAAAAAGTAACTTCACTTCAGTCTAACTGGCATTCAGTCCAACTAAATGAAGCGCCTGCATCGTTTTACCTTGTTGTTTGGGTTTGAAACTGTTCTTCGCCACCTCTGCAAGCGCTCCAAGTCCAAGTCCAAATGCCAGGCCTGAAAAAAGGAAATTATTACAGAAAAACATCCAGAAATAAACAGCTATATTTAAACTATTTATTGAGATCATTGAGCTTTGGGGTTCAGGGGTTAATAACGGTCAGTGAGCACGGTCTAGAATAGTCAGGTCCTCAGACACGTACTGGAAACTTTTCCTCACCTACTGATACTTGAGGTGGGAAGGAATGAGTCAGCACATCCACAAAACCGCTGAGTCAGACCACAAGATCATCCTAAATGGACTAAATCTATGAAAAAAAGCCATAAACCTTCACCCAATGAAATTAAGAATGAATAAATAGAAATGTGTTTTGGCCTAATCACAAACTTCTTGGTGTGTTACTCAAACTCCACCACACTGATCTGACCTATTCCAATCTCTCATGAGCCTTTGCAGCTCTGGAGGAAGTGCCAGCTCTGCTGAATTCGTTTGCACAACTTGCTTGCTCAGCTTTTACCAAGAATAATAACAGGATCTCAAACAAATGTTAACTGTTTTCTATTATTTTGATCTCCTAAAAGTTTTTTTAGATTGCAGGTCACTAAAATGACTAAATTTGAATCCGTTCTTAGAAAAACTAATAATTATCCAGAAACAATTATAAATTATAAAACTGTTTTTCTTGTATCTTCCCAAAAACTATCAAGGATGGACACATGCATGCACACAACAAATCAAACAATATAAAAATTGTTTAAAAATAAACAATATGTACCTAATGAATTGGACAGTGAATGAATCCTAGGTCTTGTTTTCTGTTTTCTCCACCATAGATTATAAGGTTTTACACCTACAGTCTTCTTGTTACATTTACAGAAAGACTAATGTCACTAAACTACCACTTAAAAGAGAAAATAAACAAACGTTTACCTCCAAAATTCACCAGCCGTCCTATCCGTGTGACGGGCACCTTCCTCTCTCTGGAACGGTCGCTGAGCTACAATAAAAACAAACCGCCGCTTCTGATATAATAATCTAACACTCAGATATTTTGTGGCTAATGAAAAAATAAAGATGCTACCGATTGTTTATATTCCTTGGCTTCAGTTTTCTTGGCTTTTCTGGCTTTCTGGATGTCGTCTGACGTCAGCCGGCCCACTGTGGAGCCGTCCTGGTTAAACTGGCGCGTCTGACCAGAAAACAGCTGGCACGGCCACTTCCTGTGGTACTCCACATGTTTAGCACCAAACCCTCTGCCGGTCGTCCCCAGACTGCCGTTTAAACCTCCAGAGAAGCCGGAGCTGAAGCAAGCGCTCACGGTTGAGTATCTGTGAAGCTGCGCTGATGCGAGTCTGTGGAGGCAATGCTCCATCTGAACAAAACACCAGTCAAGTGTCAGAGCACTTTGCAAAATTGCATAAAAAGTAATAAAACCTAGAAAAAACTGATCTATTTTTACTTTAACCTGTAGTTCTTTAAAGTGACAGTGTGCTAGTCTAGTGAACCAGACCAAATTCTTGCTTTGCAAAGTTTGGTCTAGGAACGCTCCATTGGAACCTCTGCAGCCCCTAGCAGCATTCTGGTCGGCCAATCACAGCTTTCTAGAGGGGTTTCAAACACATAGAATGCTGTGAATGGTCCATAATGGTGGGCCAATCAGTGCTCTATCTGCTTTGTGGGCCAATCAGTGCCCTCTATTTGTCTGATGGGCGGGATGATGCAACATAGTGGAACAAAATGGCGACAGCTTGTTTGAAACGACTTTTACATCAAATTTGGACTATTTGGACTTGAGCTTTATTAGAATCAGGAGCAGATAGATGTACTTAAAAGGAACTCTGGCTAGGAGGACGTGTATGCCCTAATAAGCCACAAGTTTTCTGTTGTACCAAACGACTTTGTTAGAAACACACAAAATATTGCTGTTTATTTATAAAACTATAATATTTAGCACACTTTTTGAAATACGTAGGACGCCATGTTTTCTGCACGCAATGGACTCTGGGGGCGATGACGTATATTGGTTGCACTTGGAAGAATAACTATTGACGCTAGTGTTTGTTTACGCGCTCACCACATTAATAATTAAGTAAAATGCCACATTGTGCTGCTTTTGGATGTAATTTCCAGTCAGAGGGCAACAAGGGGGGTGATGTGAGTTTACACAGCTTTCCCACTGGCAAGAAGAGGAGAAAGCAGTGGGAAGATGCCTGTGGATGGACACAACTTCCCAAAAGATCCGTGGCTGTGTTCCCAACATTTTTCTCCTGATGCGTTTGAGGCTTATAGTCGACCAAAAATAATTAAAGAGCTCACCAGAGCGGCTGGGTATAAGAGAAGGCAGAAACTAAATGCTTTACCGACCATTTTCCCACACAAGGAGCCTAAACGCCCTCGGAGGGACAAGAGATGCTGGACGCTCCTGAGCCGACAACCCGCTCCTGCAGCTGCCGCTTCTGCCCCTATTGCCAGAAAAATACACACTGTCACTTTAAAGAGAGACACGTCACTCATCACGGATGAAGCTGAACATTCACCTCTCCCTCCATTTTTGGTTCTTTTTAAAACACAGGAAAGGTTTTTCTTTACCTTGCTGACGTACGATTTGTTTGCCGACTGCAAAACATCCTCAGAGCTGAGGCTGATGGTGGCGTCACTTCCTACTCCGTTTATCCACGGGCAGCAGAGGGCGACAACTTCCTCTGCTGCCCGATCTCCCCTCTCCAATGGTGCGGTCCCATGCACGATCCAATAAGTAAACTCCATCGTCTCTGTTCATGGTCCCACATCCACGTCTCCTTATCTCTGTAGCTTCTTTTATCCAACTTTTGTATTTCTGTTGTTCGGGTGTTTATGATCCTTGTGTTGTCCCAGTCCATTATATGGTTTTCTCTTGTGCAGTGATCTGTTACGGCTGACTTCTTTATTGTGTGTTCTGCTTGTTTTGCTGGTCTTGTGTGTCTTTGACTTGTTTCTTTCTCGCACTCCTTGCTATGTTCTATTGTTCGTGTGATGAGTTGGCATCCGGTTTCACTCTGCAATAAAACATACATCGGAGAAACCGGACGCCAACTCAACACACGAACAATAGAACGTAGAAAGGAGTGCGAAAATAAAACAAGTCGAAAACCCACAAGAGCAGCAAAACAAGAAGCAGAAAGTACAATAAAGAAGTCAGCCGTTGTCGCCCTCTGCTGCCCGCGGATAAACGGAGTAGGAAGTGACGCCACCACCAGCGTCAGCTCTGAGGATGTTTTGCAGTCGGCAAATGAAACGTACGTCAGCAAGGTAAAGAAAAACCTTTCCTGTGTTTTAAAAAGAACCAAAAATGGAATTAGAAACTAAACACAGTAAGAACACACCAAAGATATTCACTTCTCCCGTCAGTAAAACAAGCAGTAAGTGTAGCAATGCAGTGTTCTCCAAATATATTATATCTGCAAAAATGATTAAAGGTGACAGATCATTTGCTGCTGTGGACCCCAGACTCTGGAACTCTCTCCCCCTGAGCCTGAGATCAGTGGACTCAGTGAACTCCTTTAAAAACCAGCTGAAGACTCACTTGTTCAAACTGGCTTTTGTATGGCCTTCTTCACCACTCTCTCTTTATTCTGCTCTCCCCATCTATTCCACCTTCCTCAGGATCCACTGATTTCCCTCTTTCCTATTCACTCTCTCTCTTTCTTAACATTTTTTAAATCACAATTGCCTATTTTTGCTCATTTTAAATATATTTTAAACATTTTCTAAATGCTTTTTTATATTTTTTGTTTTTGTGAAGCGCCTCATGATTTTTATCTTGAGAGGCGCTATAGAAATGATACTTTCTTCTTCTTCACTGAGTATCCTAATCATCTATGAAGCACACGACAGCTCTGGATGCTAAAATTCTCCAAAATCATTCATAATTGAATACGTTTGATCACACGATAGCTTACCGTTAACTTCTGCTGACAAAAATGTGAGCTCTTGACAACAAACACTCTCCCTCTCAGTTACCATCAGTGTTTGGCAAGTTACTTCAAAACTGTAATGCATTATTTATTACTTGTTACCCTCATTTTAAAGTAATTCATTACATAACAATATTACTGATTTTAAAATGTAAGGCATTACACTACTTTTGCATTACTTTAAGTTACTTTCACAAAACAACTTCAACATGAATCTGGTCATGTGACGCTCAGTGAGCTCATGACATATATGTGGAAAGTGACGTGGTGTCTGAGCTAGGATTGTTGTTAAAAACAGTCAGATATGCTTTAAAATGATTGTTTATTAAATAAAAGCAACAACAATCTGTACTCTCAGCATGCTGCCATCTTATATTAACTGAGCAGGGAGTGAGGTGGCGGGGGCTCCAAGCCTATATTTGCCTTGGTCCCCAAATGCCTTGATACGGCCCTGGATGTGGGACTGACTTCTGGGCTGATCTGATTCTATCACATGTATAAATATTAAATGCTTATATATTATTGCTTTCCACTGGTAAAAATGTGTATTGGGGATAAATCTACCTACTTTTTTTCTTTTCAAGCACTTTGCTTTGTTTTCTTGATTTTATTTGAATAATTTCCGGCTCTTTCTCTCTCTAACCTTCCTGCATGCTGCATGTTTTCTCAGTCTTCCAGAAAATCCGTTTCCTAGATTTCCTACTTTCTAACTAATCAGCCAAAGGGATCTACCGAACACAAAAAAAAAAAGAAGAAGCTTAATATGCGCTGCGCTCCAGCAGCAATGAGATGAAATCACCGGGGCACAGATTATGAACTCAGCTGAAAAGTACATGAAGTACCAGAAAATATGGGCTGATATAAACGATCGCAAATGAATGACTTTGTTTTGGTGGAGCGATTTAGTGAATATAACAGCGGCCGCACGCAGGACGCAGCTGGAGTATTTGAGCCATTGCCGCTGCATCCTCTCTGCTCATAGAATGCCCACAAAGCTGAGTCCATAAATGACGTCATATATGTGGATACTGGATCTTTTTTCAGGCGTCCTGCAACTTGAATTTTTAGGAAACACACATCTTGATTCTGGGTTTAAAAATGCATTGTAATTACCGCGTTACTGACAATTGTACAGAGTAAATATTACCATTTTCTTTCCCTGTAATGCCTTACATTACCACATTACAGCAAAAAGTAATGCATTACAGTAATTAATTACTTTTGTACCACGTTACTCCCAACACTGGTTACCATGGAGACGCATTTGCAGCACACACAGCACCGGTTTTGTCCTGCACTCACTTCACCCAGCCCTTCTTGCTCTTCATTTTGAAGCTCATTTTGTGAAACATCGTCAGTGATGTCCTCAATAATGTTTCGCTCCGGTTCAAATTGAAAAGGCTGAACAGATGACATGTTTATGTCGCTGAACAGTCAACACAGAGCCCCAAAGCTGGCCAGTGCAACCGAGGTACAACCAAATGACGTCACTACCCAGAGTGCATTGCGGCGCTAACAACAATGGCGACCTACAAGTTAAACTATGTTTTATAAATTTTATTAAAATGAAGACATTAAGAAGGTTTTTTACACCACTTTAATACAAATGATACTAACATATAAATGTTAGTTTATATGAACCACAAGGTTTTGTAACCTGGGTTCCTTTTAAGTTCTTTTCTTAGGATGTATTTTCGTCTTCTTCAACAGCGGACCGCCTCGTTTATCGACATCAGTTGCGGTGTGTATGTCACGTTGCTCATAGTCCATTAGCAAGCGGTGATCATTTGAAAGACAACTGTAGAACACGCCGCACGACAGAGAGCCGTCAATGGAGCGTTGCTAGACTAAATAACATAATTTTTAGTCATATATTGTAAGACCTTACCAAGGGGCATCCATTGGTAAGGTCTTACTCAAACACAATAATACTGCTTGCTTGCAACAACTTAGGTATTTACTGCCCCCTATTGCTAGAAAAAGTACACACCGTCACTTTAAAGAGAGAAAAATATGCTATTTCTAAAGGTTCTGCATAAATAAATAATATATTTACTTAGTCTGGCTTGCCAGGCTAACAATGTGTAGTTTTTACCATTAATTCCTCTAAATATCCATCAAAATCTTGTTGAAAATTAATGAAATAATGCCCAGTTGTTGAAAAATAGTGGCGGCTTCGTAACATACAACCCTAAAAATCTGGTCTAAAATACATGAAAGTGGGTCTAAGTCTCTGGGCGACGCCATATTAGATGCCATGTTTCCTTCTACAGCAGCCCATGAAGACATAATGCATTTACTGATTTGTAACAAATGGGTTACAAAACTTCGACATTCTTAAATGTTGTTTTACACATTTACCTCTTCACCCGTTGCCATTGGTGAAAGGGAGTCTGGTGTTCTTGTTATTTTGCTAAACTTTGCACTCACCAGGGCTTTTTGAGCCTAATGGGCATCCCTTGGTAAGGTCTTACTCCAACACAAAAATACTGCTTGCTTGCAATGATTTAGGTATCTACTACCCCCTACTGCCAGAAAAAATACACACTGTCACTTTAAAGAGAGAAAAAGATGCTATTTCTAAAGGTTCTGCGTTTAATTATCAGTTAAGAAAGCCACTATTTATATATAATGTTTGAGTTAGTTACACACTGTTTGTTTACATTATATTAACTGCTTCTTACACTCAAGTGATGCCAACAATTTCAACCAAAAATAAATAAGAAAACTCTCTAGAAACTTAAGAAATTCATAATATAAGCAAAACTTTGCGAGTCGGTTACCTGAAGCCAATTTACCGTAGAGGGGGACGAGACCTTTTTCTGTAACATTATGGGTCAAAGTTGCTGACCATGTTAATCTAAGGAAAGAATTGTTTCAATTAACTATTTATTCCAGTTAATGTAACCTCACTGACAGTTGTTTTCCAACAAAAACTCCCCATATACTTCAATCCGAGAAGCCTTTAACATGTCAACTAGGCTAGCACAATGATTTCAACTCCTCTATGAATATTGCTCCCTTAGTAACCACTCCAAAAGAAAACTTAATTAACCCGACAATGCATCTGAACTCTCTAATTTCATAAAGGAAAAACACACATCTGCTTTAAAAGCTTATCAAGGAAAACTACATTAAATAGTAATAGCAATAAAGGTATTACACAGCTGCTTGAACTCAGAAACTGAGATAACTCGCTCTTTCAAAACTTATTTAGGCAACACAGTCTCTTTAAACTAGAATGGCATACCTTTTGTTTTGTTTTCATTAAATTCAACCCCTAGTTTTTACAGTGCACTTGTGACAATATTTAAAACTATGGATCCACCTAAACCCTACAGCAGCTGGTGATGTTGTAAAGTTAGATAATTTCTTCTGGAGAAACCAAACTGCAAGGATCATTGTTCTTGTGTTGTGGTCAGTAAGACACCACCGTACTCAGTTGGGTCAAAGAGGCCCTAAACTATTATTAGATTGGGTAGTGGACCCCATTAGGTCCCCAGCACACAGAGTCAAGGGCAACGGTAACTTGTTATTGATTTTAAACTGACCTTGATTAAGTTACCAACTATTTTTTTAAAGCTTTATGCTTTCATTGCAAGTTTTGAGCTGCTCTCCTGCTGTTTTTGACCCCTACAGCATCTGCCTGATAAAGCTAATCACCACCTTTGTGCTGTTGACGGTGACAGAAGCACAGATAATTGTGTCTTTAGGTTGCACGACTGGAAATACGAGCCCAGTCTGCAGATGGGCCAACAACTAGCTTCTTACCCTTGCTGATCCAGGGGGGTGAAGGTGTAGCAGACTGCTTGTTGGGGCTCTGCTGGCTGCCTTCACCCATCTCAGACCTCTCCAGACCACAGAGTCACCTGTCATGACGTTTCCCGGTTGAAACTGACCCAAACAGCTTCAGCTCTGCCAGTGCACCAGGAAAAACGCACAAGTGCCATAACAACAGTCAATGTGCCCATGCTTACGAGATAAACAAAGCACACGCGTCTTTAGGCTAAACGCGGACGAAAGAGCAGAAACACGAGCTGCGGCTTTAAAAGCAACTCTCGAATAATAAACGGGGAGGTAACCCGTTTTAAAGCGAATGTAGAACACCTAAAACTTCAAAAAACAGCGTCAACTCACCAGATGCGTTGAAAACCACGCCGTCTCAGATGAGAGAGCATGCAGGGCCGGAGAGCATTGTTGTGCAAAAAGAGCTGCACAGCGGACAACAACAAGACCTGGGACTTGACACGGTTCCTTAAAAAACTCCACGGCAGCAGGGTGCGACACGTCCAACGAGGTGCAAGATCATCCAGGAGGAACAAACACTGTCCAATGAGACAAAGTTCAACAGCGAGCTTCGACCATCAACAAAGCGTCACACTGGTTGGAGAAACTGTCAGTCGCTGCCCCGCTGCCTGCGTGGAGCGCTGACGTGTCCGCTGTTCTGGGCGGTCCGTGAACTGCACGCCTGATGCGTTCAAGGATTTCCCGCCAATCTTTTTTTTTTCATGCGTTACGAGCATTACTTTAGTTCTGATTTTGGAATCACAAAATGTATGTTTACTAGTCTGAGACAAAAGAAAGACATCTGATGAAATACTAACTCTTTAAATCACCTTTGAACGTGTTAAATGGACAGTTTCGGCAGACTGAGAAATTCCGGATGTAAAACAAAACACTACTGCAGATCATTCACCCCCACCACCGCAGTAAACTCAGTTTAACTGGTACTGGCATTATCCTGGTACACAGTAACATCAAAGCAATATTCAGTATGTGTGCAATACTGTACTTGTGCAATACATGTCTGTGTCCCTTATGCTGCATAGTTCTGTAAACCAATATTTTCTTTTTATTTGTTGTTTTAAGTGGTTGAAGGTCACAAGCTTACTGCTTTTGTATGTGCTGCTGTAATGATTGAATTTCCCCATTTCTATTCTATTCTATTCTATTCTATTCTGTTCTGTTCTGTTCTATTCTATTCTATTCTATTCTGTTCTGTTCTGTTCTGTTCTATTCTATTCTATTCTATTCAAATCTAAATATAATAAAACATCATAATAAAAATGTTAAATGATTTGTACTGATTGTTACGGTTGCCATTCTGGTCAGGGAAGAGCAGGAGCCAGGATCATCCAGCTCTGGTGAAACAGCCTGACACCGCCCCTCCTCCTCTCTCCAGGGCTGCTGAGGAGCACAGCTGAGCTGCATCTTCCTTGATTGCCAACACCTGTATAAAAGGGCTGTGCCTTCAGCAGTTCAGTTTGTTTTCAACCCCTTTCGTTTAGATTTGTTTGAGTTTTAAACTGTGATAGTTTTTAACTCTAAGTGATACGTTTTGGATGATCCAGTGGGATCTTTTTGGCTGTTTGGTTTTAAGGTTAACTTGGTTTGTGCAATTTTACTGACCTCGGTTTTTAACACCTTTCGTTGTAGTAAAGCTTTTAAAATAAGTTTTTACCAGGTGTTTTTGGTCAGTGGATTGTTTTGGAACTTTTATCAACTTCAGGATTTTAAAACACCTTCTGTTCGGTTAAGCTTTTAATACAAGTTTTAACCAGGTGTTTTTATAGTTGATAATTTGTTGTGATGTTAACCTTTTAGAGAGATCTGTTTGCATGTTTTTAGAACCTTTTTGTTACAATAAAACCCTTTTAATATCCACTGTCCAGTCTTGTGTTACCCCCATCCTTCACTTTTTAGCAACACTTGCCGGGGACGTAACACTGATCAAGAACTTGATTAGTTGTTTGCCATCTGTTACAGCTGTTGCTGTTTGCCTCTGAAATCTGACACTGCAGAGGACAATCAGTGCTGCCTCCACCTACCTGCACAGCTGCACTCACTTGGGCTGATCACCTCCATAGCAGCATAAAAGGGAGAGCTGCCAGGAGGAAGGGAGAGACAGGATCTGTGCCAGTTCTCTCATGTGCACCATTTGTTTGTGTTAATGGCTTTTAAATGGGTTTTAGCTGTTTAAGTTTGGTGAAGCTTAACAACTTTTAGAGTTTTTTTAACAGATGAGGGACCAAAGTGATGGTTTCCCTTTGGCTCCCAAACTTGTGTTTAAGTCAGTGGACTTGTTTTGTGAATGTTTGGGAGCATTCGTATGTCTGTTTTAAACGTAAACCCTTGGCCATTTTGTGTTTTAAGTACTTGTAGATTTGGAGCTTTTGTCATTTAAAAATCCTTTTAATAAAATCATTGTTTACAATTTCCACACCCGAAACACATGCCTCTGTGTTACTCCCTGTCCTTCTCCTTATCCACCAATAGAGGATGTAACACACACACACACACACACACACACACACACACACACACACACACACACACACACAAACGTAAAAAATGTAGAATAAATTTATGCCATAAAGTGTTTAGTTTCCCCAGCAGCATTTAATGTTTTACACATAAAATTGGCAGAACTCCTCTTGTTTTTGTTCTTGTTCTTCTTCTTCTTCTTCTTGTGCTTGTTGTTGTTCTCGTTCTTCTTCTTGTTGTTCTTGTTCTTGTTGTTCTTGTTCTTCTTCTTGTTGTTCTTGTTCTTCTTCTTGTTCTAGTCCTTCTTGTTGTTCTTGTTCTCCATTGAATTTCAGTGACCCCCCCCCCCCCCACACACACACACACACACAAATTATTTTCCTAGTCACCACCATTACCGTTGCCTTTTCAAATGAAAACTTGACCTTCATCATCACCCTTCTTTCTACCTGCCCTGACATCCTGCACCTTTTCCATGATGTGCTTCAGGTTCTTGCCCTTCATCCACAATGATCCACAAAAATGGATACTCTATCCCCTCCAATCCCCTCAAAGAGGGTTGCCCCTACCTGTACCCTAATTTATTTGTCCACTAAAAAAAACCCTTCTCTCACCTATCCATCCTTCCCATTAGAAAGACCAATAAACCTGACAGTCAAGTTTTGGACCATGGGAGGAAACCGACCTGGAGAGAACCCACGTGTGCACAGGGAGAACATGCAAACCCCATGCAGAGACCCCAGGCTAGGATCTGAATCCAGGACCTTCTTCCTGCAAGGCAACAGTACTAACCACTGCACCACTGTGCAACTCTGACTTCATCATGCTAATGTCAAATCCAAACTGATTAGAAAAAAATTCTCTTCATGTGTTGGAAATAAAATCACTTAATTTTCCTATTTGAAGAGTTGCTCCTTTGATCACAAATTGTATTTATCTTAAGGTTAAATTCTGTTATATTACAAGATGTTCATCATTCCCTGAACTCAGAATGAGTGATTCAATCAGTCAGACACTGTGCTGATCATGTAATGTTTACAGCCTGATTTAACACAGAGGCCTAAAAATAACACAGAATCTATTTTCTACCATTTGTTTTCATAAAGGCTAGTTTTAGCTGGTTTCCTGTTTTATGCAAACATGGTATTAACGTTGTGACCAAATTCTGCTCAAGCAGTTGGTCCATCTTTTTGTCACTTAAATTTCTATTATTCTTCTGAATTCCACCCAAGGAAAACAGAAAAAGGACATGTTTAAGAAGGTATTTAGAGGGGAATGAAGTTTAGTTTGGCACCCTAACCCACACCCAAAAAATAAATAATTCTACCAGAGGTCTTCTTGGTTCTTTCATGTAAACTCTAATAATTTGATTTATTAATTTTATAGATTTTCTTAATAAGTTGTCTTTTTTTTTAAGCTTTTTCATGTGTTTCTTGGATCTGACACATTTAATTAAGCGGTGAAAAAGCTGTTTAGGCTGCAGACCTGCTGTCAGTGTATTTGTTTTCAACACTTCAGACAAAAGTAAATAAAAAAGCTATTTGGATTGTGAAGTGTGAGAGTTGTGCTCAGAACGTCTAGTGTCCATTAACTGCATCAACACACTTTGAATAAAGCCTTTTATGGAGGTCTAATCTGCAGGAGGCAGTAACACAGTAGCCTGTCCTGCCTGACTCGTCCTCTGTTTAATTCTGCACAGAGAAAGAGGAGGAGTCTGGCAGGCCAAGGCTAGTAACACAGCAGTTTCCTGGGATTACATGTCAGCATATATAATCTCAGCTAAAACACACATGTGGAACATCGAGTTTCTTTTGTTTCCAACTTTTTTTCACCCTCAAACTGACTTTTACAGCAAATAGAATTTATATTAAAGGTTAAAAAGTTAAAATGGATTTTATTAAAAAGGTTTGAAAAGGAGAAAAAAATTCTGCAAAAGAGCGTAATGATAAAGGAAAAATTATGGATAAAATATCTCACGGCTAATTTTGATTTAGGGAGTGAGCTTTACCACAAGCAGGTCTGTAAAAGACAGGACGTCACAAAACTGAGGAAGATTTGAATTTTCTGTGAAAAACGTGAAACATCTCCATGAAGTTCTAAAATGTGTTTAGATTTATTTTAGTATGTGGTGGATAATCTCATCCAGGAAACCTTCAGATTTCTGTAAACAAGGAAACAAAGGTGGACTCATGATAATCAACAATCTGTTCTACTGAATGAAGCAGAACAGTATTTGTGGAAATCCCTGTGTGATAAAACAGGTGAGAGATGATAAAAGTCAGCACCACAAGGGGCTTTAATAGTACAGCTCTGCTACGTTGTCATTATTGAAACTTAAACTTTAGAACAAGATTAATTTTAGCAAGAGAATAATAAATCAGCCTAATCTAATTTTAACAGCCCGCCTGTCGTTTTTTAAAGGAAGTAGGCCCCATGGTCTTATTTACAAATGTTCCAAATATCTGATTAGTTTCTTTCTTAATTTTCTTGCATTAAGAAAATCTTCCATGTGAATAAATGCAGTGTACAGACGGGTTTTCCTCCCATGCATTACAAAGGCTTTGTTGACACCTGGTGGCGTGACTGATGAACTGCAGCTGATTATAAATGATAATCCTGAACTATGGCTCTAAATAAATAATCATAAATGTGTAAAGACTGATTAGAAACACACGATAACCTGCTAAATGTAATCAAGGATTAATATTTTCCCAGTTTCACTGACCTGCTTCAACTCTCCACTTGTTTGTGTTTCCTGTTTTACTCTTTTCTCAGCTGCATTCTACTGGATGATGATTTTTCATGGGAAAAATGTAACAAATTAAATTAAAAGAGAAATTACTTTAAATTGTGTGTACATATATCATACGTACTAAGTACTAATTACTAACCAACCACCCTACACTCCATTTAGAATCCATTCTGAGGAATATGTTTTTGAGTTTCTTCAATTCCGAACAGTTTTTTGTGTGTGACTCCCTTTTGCTTTTGACTATCCAGAAAGCTGAAAAATGCAAATATCAGTGGTGGAATTGTCACCAAACAAGATGTACTCGGTCTTTTGTTAATTCAGAAATGGGAAATTTTGATGTAACCACTGTTTGTCTGCAGAGATGCCATCAGGGAGAGAATATTGCTGTTACTAGGTTTTATAGATGGGTAAATATGAAGGTCATTAGCGTAAAACTGCAAGGACAAGTGATGCCATGTGAAAATTGCACCCAGTGGCAGCAAATAAAGGAGGAAAAAAAAGGAGGGGACCAAGAATGGGACCCTGTGGCGCCCCACTAATGCCAGCATCAAGGCTTAGGTGAGATAGAACAGAAAGATCAACACTGTCAAAAGCTGCCATAAACACACACTCGCCTAAATACAATTTAGAGAGGCAAATCAACATATCAGTAATAGTTTTGGACTGTGGGAGAAAGCCGGAGTGGGAGAACATGCAAACTTCATGTAATAAGATCCCAGTTTTGAACTCAGTACCATCAAATGAACCAGGGCTATAACCCTAAAATTGTTTGATAGCTGCAGCCAGACTGCAACAAAGATTCAGGCCAGGAATCTTGTTTCTACCTAGTGCAGCATAAAACCTTTCTGCCATTTCTCTGTTTGAGGGTGTGGGGTGGTGATTTGGGGTGCATTAGCAGCTTGATCCTGCAATGCAGAATCTCTGGGTGGGCAAGCTAGGGTGGAGTTTCCTGGTGCTCCCGATGGCCAGCCCACCACTGACTGCAGCCCTAAATTATCAGTGTTGGTGATGCACACTTACAAAGTAAATAGCCGTTTGATGAGGTCTTAGTAGTTTTTTGAAACTTTTTGGGGTCACTTCAGGTTACATCCAGTTGGGCTTTCATTAGCGCTTTGATGACCCTCCTGACAGCACCAACAACAATGCCCTCCGGCTGCGTTTCATTGTTGAACCTTGCCAACCTCGTGGTCTGAAATGTGCCATAAAGACACACAACACCACAGTCAGGTGGTGTCCCCACAGAGTCACTGGAGCACAAATAAGATGTTGATAATCAGCCTACAACCGGCAGCAAGAAAAGGACTGTGGATACTGGACCTACATGGGATAAGATTGCATGGTTGGTATCAAGTCATTCTGTGGTTCAGCTGAGGCCCTATTATTAAAGGTGTCAGTTTAAGGGTTTGGTTGCTTGCTCATGCATATTCATCAGGCTCACCCAGATATCATTATGTATCTCCATGACACACTGGAAATCCTTTTTAATGGGACAAACATTCAGTTTAAAAAAAAAGAGAACTTTGAGACATCCAGATGAAATGTTTCACATCAGTTTTTTTTATCACATCTGACACCCTGCTTTCATGTCTGAAGTCAGTGTTTAAACTTGAGCACGATGACGAGACCTGTCAGAGAACAAGGCTTGTTTATGACACTACCAGGACAACTGGTAACTTTGCACGTTTGGTGACACAAGTCCCAGGCATTCTGAAAGACACCTCGACCCGTCTGAGCTGCTGGAGAAACGTGATTAAACCAGAATCCCTCAACACGGCAGCCAGACCGGTGTGAGTGATGGTCCCGGATAAAATAGCAAAAAGGAAGAGTATAAATATCGTAATATCTTAATTCCTGTATGTGAGCTTCTGTCCTACAAACGTGAGAACTGTTCTCCCCATATGCCGTCAATAATAACATGTCTCCCATTTTTATGCTGTGTTCCTTTTGTTGTGAACACTGATACCTTCTCTTCATGAGGATGCCACATGCAACAGTGACTGGACCATGTGAATAATTTACAGCCTTGTCTCATTCGATACCAGCAACTTTAGACCTTGATGTATGGCTCACAGACGGGTGAATGTGTAATTGATGAGAGGATGAGTTGTTCCTCGGAGGAAGCTCTGAACAGAAGAGGCAAGACCATTAAAGAACAATCTAATATGTATAGTAAAGATTATAATATACTAAAACATTGTATTTCTTGTTTATAAAGCCTTTATTTGATGCTTTGTCTTTCAATGGAATATTTTTTAATCCCATTGATCTGATTTGTAGTTGCATGACACTAAAAGCAGGTCAGTTTAATATAATTAAAACAGACTTTTGAGATATTTAAATTTGACAAACTGGATTTCACTACTTTTTGTGGCTTGTCCACAAAAAGGCCCTGAGTTTAATTATATTAACGATTTAAAGGGAACCTTCATCCAGCTAGGATGGACTGACATTTTACTTCCATGTAATCTGGTTACAGATGACACAACAATATACTGATTACGCCACAGTTTCACCATCACACACTTTAAGGCTTTCACCAGGAGTTTTGTTTTTGCACAGCTGAAACATTCAATGATGTTGGCTTTTTGAAAGATTAACTTTCAAAAAGGAGAGGATTTTGGTCTTCTTGTGGCACACATGAAACTTGCTCAACACTTCCTTTGTAGCCGTCGAAACCCGTGTGGATTAGCCGCCTCTGCTCACAGTGACGTCCCTCAGCGGCAGCTAGTTATAGTTACCAGTCTCGAGTTCACCACTCATGCACTATTCATTGGTATATCACATCACTCCTGCCCAACTTCAGACTTGGACAAACCCAATTCTTTTCTGTACACAACTTCACATTGTAGCCTTATTCCAGAAGCAATCTAAATGTCTAAAATGCTCATGCAGGGTCCCTAAAGCTTTGGGTTGTAACAGAAAAGAAAATTTAAAGGTCAGAAGGTGATTTCTTCAAGGGAATCCTCTCGGATCTACCAGGAGATAAAAGAGCCACTCTTGTTGTATGGTATGTATGAGTTTATTTTAAGTCTTTCATATTGAGCAAAGATCTAATGTTTTTTTTCCTTAAGAAATAAGATTATGTTCTTATTTGGTATTTAAATATCCAGAACTAATTGTTTATTCTCCTTTGTTCTTGATTTGTTTATAATGATCCGATTATTCTGAAAATCCTGAAAAAGGTCTGTTAAATTATTATTATATCAAAGAAAGTTCTGTTTTTGATAGCAGCTGAAACTAACCTATGAAAACTGATGGAATCCTACAAGCTAATTTGAATAAAAATCACTTTTTTGAGAATCCAGTAAAATCAATATCTTACATTTGCACTGATTAAGAGTAAATAGAGTACTTTGTTGATTAATTTCTGCAGAAAAACAACACCAAGTGTATTATTTTTCACAATGCATGTGAAATGTATCCCATCAGTTGATGAATTAAGGTCAGAGGATTAAATAATTGAAAGACCCATTCAGACGGCCCAAAAGGTGTGGTAGCACGTTTACAATAATCTTTGAATAATTGAATAATAAACTTGAAAAATAAATTTAAAGTTTTCTCTTTTTTTTATTGATCTTTAGTTCCGTTCAGATGAGTTACTTCTGTCTTTTGATCAAAACTCTCTTGGCTACAGCAGATAAAGAGAAAAATCAATAATTTCTTTAGTTTTTCTGAAAAATATGAAATTGTGTGGCACAGTAACTTTAGCTTTATCAGTGTTTTTCAATCATCTGACAGTTTTCTTTTGTAATGTTTTTCACAGAGCTCACCAAGGTTTGGTGTGAACCATGAAGCGCAGTAAGCACCGTGGGCAAAAGGAGGACAGAAACGGAGGTATCGTCTTAAACAGATCCTTTGGTTCGGCTCAGAAAGTCCCGGCTGACGTGACACGAAGGGTGCTGACCAATTCAGCCTCCTTTTCTCTCATTGGAAAATTTTGTCAAACCAAATTTTGCAAAAAAGGACCTCATTCTGAAATATTTTCACATTTTGATTCTGCTGTTGAACTCAGCAGTATTTTGAAATTCATTCCAAGCTTTAAAAAACTTAAATGTTACATTTGATCACACTTTGAGACCATCTCATCTGATGGTTTGTCTTTTATGTTAACTCCAGAGGAACCAGCTATTTTGGAAACCCAGAACCTGGATCATAATGGCATGCTGCTGGGTGGACTAGACCCTGACACCATCTCTCTGGCTTCAGTCACAGCCGTCACCACTAATGTGTCTAACAAAAGGCCAGCATAATTTTTTAACTGCCTTTAATGTAGTTAGGATTGCTTTTTGTAAATTGTTTCTGAAGATAAGCATTGCTTATTATTGCACAGATCAAAGCCGGACATCAAGATGGAGCCCAGTTCCGGAAGGCCAGTGGATTACCAAGTAAAGCAATGCCACTGCTGTGGGGCTCTAGATGGGGTTGTGTCTAATGTGATGAAATTAATCATTGGTTTGGGTATTTCAGGTCAGCGTGACAGTGATTGAAGCCAGACAGCTGGTGGGCCTGAACATGGATCCAATGGTCTGTGTGGAGATCGGAGATGACAAAAAGTACACCTCGATGAAGGAATCAACAAACTGCCCATACTACAATGAAGTAAGCTAGCCATGATTGCTCATTTTCACTATAAGGACAAGGTTTGTTTCAAATATTACAATTTTTTTATAATCTCCTCCAGTATTTTGTCTTCGACTTCCACGTTCCTCCAGATGTCATGTTTGACAAAATCCTCAAAGTGTCGGTAAGTATCTTTCATGAGGTCCATTTTAACAGCCATTCAGTCATTATACAAATAGAATTCAAAAGGTCAAGGGTCAATCAGAAGTGCAGTTGGCCAATGAATATGAATTAAAACATAAAAGCAGTAAATATTAGCACTCGTCTATTTCTTAGTTAAAATATGAATACATGAATGTTTCAAGTAGGATTTGGTGGACCAATTAAGCTTTAAAGTGACAGTGTGTATTTTACCTGTTGATGGGGGCAGACAGATACCTAAATCATTGCAATGAAGCAGTATTTTTGTGTTGGAGTATGACCTTACCAACGGATGCCCATCAGAGTCAAAAAGCCCTGGGGAGTGAAAACTTTAGCAAAAATAACAACCACATCAGACTCAATTTTATCACAGGCAACAGGTGAAGAGGTAAATGTGTAAAACAACAACATTAAAAATGACTAAAGTTTTGTAACCGTTTGTTACAAATCAGTAAATGCATTTTGTCCTCATGGGCTCCCGTAGAAGGAAACATGGCATCTAATATGGCGTCACCCAGACACTTAGACCTGCTCCCATGTATTTTAGACCTGATTTTTATGGTTAGATGCAATGAAACCTCCAATAATTTCAACAAGGCATCATTTCATTAATTTTCAACAACACTTTGATGGATGTTTCAGGAAATTAATGGTAAAAACTATACATTGTCCCTTTAAGGTGTAATTATATAATATAAAAGCTTTATATAAATAAAAGCTGCAATAGCAAATTTGGAAAATAAATTAAATGTAAATTTTTTTTCATGCCTAACCTTCTAACATAGTATAGCTATAAACATATTGTGGAGATAAAATTCATGGAATCCATGGAAATGTTCTTGATTATCTAGTATACAATTATGGGAAGCTGCATTTAACAATATTACGTAAATCATTAGATGTAAGAGAAAGTAGAACCACTGCCTACGCAGAAATGCAGATGGTAAAATAAATGGCAAGTGAAAGATGAACATTCGAATGGCACCTATGTTAACTTAAATAAATCTTTTAATTGGATGAGTCACAAACTATTATTATTGAAGAAATAAGGCACATGAAGCATAGCTCAGTTATCCATAAAGTTTTATTTAAAAGTAGACATTAGATTGGGTAAATTAAAGGCTTACTAACAGGAATCGGGGAATTCTCCTGTGGAGTTCCACAAGGATCAATGATTGGTCCCAATTTTTTCCTACAATACGTAAATGATTTTTGTTGTATTACAAACTTGCTGAAATTCATTTTCACTTTTTATTTATTTATGGTATGATAACAACATAAAATCTTAATTAATTACCGCTACTACTAATAGTATTTGGTGTTGTCTTTGAGCCCTGCTGCATCTGCTGGTTATCATGTTAGGTGTATTCCTTATTTGCCAAAAGACTAATTTAATTGTTTATGCTTTTCATTTATCCAACCCTAGGTAATCCACTCCAAGAATCTTCTGCGCAGCGGAACTCTGGTTGGAAGTTTTAAGATGGATGTTGGTACAGTCTACTTCCAGCCAGGTGAAAAATCAGCAATTATCAAGTTTGATATTTTCAAACTTGGTCCAGCCCAATGATACATTGGTTGATTTCTTTTACAGAACACCAGTTTTACCACAAATGGGCTCTGTTGTCTGACCCCGATGACATCACAGCTGGTGGTAAAGGCTACGTTAAATGCGACATTGCAGTCGTGGCTAAAGGCGACACCATAAAAACTCCTCACAAGGCAAATGAATCCGATGAAGATGACATTGAGGGGTAAATATAATAGTGGTTAGAGCAGACAGTTACTGTTAAATCTATAGATTTTTTTAGAATAAAAATTACATAAAAGTTAAAAACAATCATACACTGGTGTTAGGAATCTGTTGCTACCGGAGGGGGTTCCTGCAGAGCGACAGTGGGCCCGTTATTACCTCAAAATCTACAAAGCAGAGGGTCTCCCCCGAATGAATACCAGCATCATGGCCAACGTCAAAAAGGCCTTCATCGGAGAAAATAAGGATCTGGTTGATCCATATGTTCAAGTACTGTTTGCTGGGCAAAAGGTGAGTGCTGCCGGAGGTCACCATCAGAATTCCCTTTAATTGTTTTTTAGAAAGCAAAATAGTAATTTATTTCTGTTTGATCACAGGGAAAAACCTCAGTACAGAAGAGCTGCTATGAGCCCATCTGGAATGAGCAAATAGTTTTTACAGAGATGTTCCCACCCCTGTGCAAACGCATGAAGATCCAGATCCGGGACTCAGACAAAGTGAATGATGTCGCTATAGGAACACACTTCTTAGATCTAAAGAAGATTTCCAATGATGGAGACAAAGGTGATTTATCAATAAGTGCTCATCTTCTTCATCTGTATGAAGAAGAATTATCATCCTTCATTTTCTTCATTGTCAAACAACCAGATTCACTTCTCTTGCATCTGTTATTTCTCAGGTTTCCTTCCCACACTGGGACCTGCCTGGGTGAACATGTACGGCTCCACCCGTACCTACACCCTGATGGACGAGTACCAGGAGTTAAACGAAGGTCTTGGTGAGGGCGTGTCCTTCAGGGCCCGTCTGCTAATCAGCCTGGGTGTAGAGATCCTGGACCCCTCCTCTCCTGACATAATGACCTCCACGGAGGTGCAGGTGGAAGGAGTGCCCAAGATCTCAGAGGTGGGTCCCTCTCTGCATGGGTAGCCATGCAGATGGAGCCAATTGTTTCTACTGCTGACGGGTCACTGTAATGCGATTAATATAAATTATTAATAGGACATATTTAGCCCTCGTATTGTATTACTGATACCTGTTGTACTGAGCTGTAGCAAGCCTCATATGGGTTAAGGTAATATTTGATGACTTCAGAGGGTTATGATAGTTTTGGACAATTTTCTTCTGAAAACAAAACAACATTTTTGCTTTTTTTTGTCCTTGATTACATAATCACACTTCTTATTGATGTCATCAGAGTGCCACTGGGAAGGTTGAGGAGTTTTTCTTGTTTGGGTCTTTCCTGGAGGCCACAATGATTGACAGAAAAATTGGTGATAAGCCGATCAACTTTGAGGTCACCATAGGTATTTGTATTTTTGCTGTGCTGGGTTGATTAGAAGCCACTGAGACACAAAACAAATCATCGTAATCGATCATTTACTGTTTTCAGGTTACTATGGAGACGAGAACGATGGTGCCATCCAACCAAAAACAACAGGGAAGAAGGGCGGAGGTGATGAAGAGGAAACTGAACTGATTCACAACTCCAGTGAGGACGAGATGGACGATGATGGAGACCTGACTTCGGTGGCTATTACTCCACCCATGAAACCTGTCATCACTGACCGGTCAGAGTGAATTATATCATTACTAACCCAAACATCAGGGAAAAAGTCAAGAAAACGCGATTGGCATGATGCATTCATACAAATGAGCCAGGATTTTGCCACATTTAACCAAAAAAAATCAGGATTTTCTCTTTTCATCCACAGAAACTATTTCCACCTGCCCTACTTTGAAAGGAAGCCGTGCATTTACATCAAAAGTTTGTGGCAGGACCAGAGAAGGAGGCTCTACAATGCCAACATTATCGATAACATTGCTGACAAATTGGCAAGTCGGCATCTTCATCTTTGGCCAAGTAAATCCCAGTCAACACAATATTGTTTAATACTAAGAAAACGGAAATTATATTCTCCTGCAGGAGGATGGACTAAATGATGTGCATGAGATTATCAAAACAGAGAAGACCTACCCTGAACGCCGACTAAGAGGTGTTCTTGAGGAGCTCAGTCAAGGCTGCAGGTATGTAGTCATAAACCAAATCCTGGAGAAACAAGAGTGTGACTTGTAACGTTTCCTCTAAACTGACTCTTGTTCTTTCAGCCAGTTTATTTCATTGGCCAACAAGGACCAGAATCATTCTGGCAAAACCAAACTCGACCGGGAGAGGCTGAAGCTGTGTTTGTCGGAAGTGGTATGCTGACAAAAAGCAATTAGATTTTTATTAGATTGGAAAATGAGTTTTTACTGTTTTTAAATGTTCAACATGCTCTGACTGTAGGAGTCCATAGGCCAACAAGCTAAGGTCATGAGGTCACAGGTGAAAAAAAGCACAGTGAGGGATAAACTCAAGCTGGCTCAAAACTTTCTTTTAAAGCTGCGCTTCCTGGTCGATGAAGTAAGACGGCCAGCAAACAAGTCACATTATCCTTATCTTCTATTTTTTACTTTATTAATGTGTTTGTTTTTTCTTGTAGCCTCAGCACAGTGTTCCTGACATTTTCATCTGGATGTTAACTAATGGGAAACGCGTCGCTTATGCTCGTGTTCCTTCCAAAGACATCCTTTATTCCAGCGTCGATGAGGAGAAGGGAAAAGACTGTGGAAAAGTCAAAACCATCTTCTTAAGGGTAAGTTTAAACTATCAGAACTCATTTAATTCATTCACCACTTTTTTTTAATTGATTTGACCTTTTGTTTGTCAATTAAAGATCCCTGGTAAAAAAGGTTTTGGGCCTGCTGGCTGGACCGTCCAGTCCAAAATAGAGATTTACCTGTGGCTGGGTCTGAATAGACAGCGCAAAGATTACCTGAGCGGACTGCCCAATGGGTTTGAGGAAAACAAGCTGTCCAAAGGACCCGGCCTGCCATGTTCACCTCCCATCAGCCTCACCTACATGAGTAAGCTCATCAGCTGGTTCAGAATTCCTGCAAGCTCACTGGAAACACAAAAACTTGTAATCTATTGGGCCATTCCCATCTGTACCAGGTCGGCCCGGGCCGGGTAGCCCCAGTCGGCCCCAGCCTGGCCCGGTTGATTCCACACATCCTTGCCTTAAGCCCATGTGGGCTGATTCTACCCACCAATCAGAGGCTTGCTCTAATGGAAGGTGTGAATTTGCTGTCAGCAGTGGGTGTGTTGGCCCTGGTCGGCCTGAAGCAGACTCCCTCGAGAAGAGGGCTGAGAATGAGCCTTGGTTGGCCCGGAAAAATACCAGGCCACCCAGATATGTAAACAACCTATGCTACCCGGCCCGGGCCGACCCGGTACAGATGGGAATGGCCCATAACTCTCCACTGAAGGTCAAAATTGTAGTTATCTCATGTTGAAAAATGATCTTGAAAGTCAGGTTATGTTTCATTTCACATTATATCACAAGATCTTACTAGAACGTGATTGTCTCAGCAACAATCACATCAGACTACAGCTAAAGGGCTCTATCTTTGAGAGGGTTTTAGACATTTTAGTGTGTGCTGAGCTCAGTTAGATCTCACCATCTTAAATAGGTTTGCTCCAAACATTAGTGCCACAGTTATTACCCTTTATTCTGTTTTTAATGTTGATTGGCTCTGGCGGCCATCTTAAATACGGTAGATCTAACGATTGCTGATTGGTGGTTGACAGTGAAACAGATCTTCCAGCTGAGGGTCCACATGTACCAGGCTCGCAGCCTGTTTGCCGCTGACAGCACAGGTCTGTCTGATCCCTTTGCACGAGTTTTCTTCTCAACACAAACCCAAGTCACTGAGGTGAGTGGGTGTGCCTTTGACATAGATGTGCTGCTGCTCCTTTACGACCCTGAACATCTTGTCTTGTTTTTCTCCAGGTGCTGGCTGAGACTCTCTGCCCCACCTGGGATCAGCTGCTGGTGTTCGAGAACGTTGAGCTGTTTGGAGAAGCTTGTGAACTGAGAGATGATCCTCCCATTATTGTCATTGAATTATATGATCAAGACACAGTGGTGAGGGACGTTTTCCTTTTGACGTTTGTGTTCAGAGGGAAGAAAACTCAACCTTCAAACAGCTCAGAGTTGTGAATTTTCTTACTCTAAATAGTTTTTTAAAAGCTGATTTTAATTTGAATTTGTACCATTTGACGCATCATGATAGAATATGTTTGCTGATTGACAATTTTATATTTGCTCCTGACAAAAACACCATTGTTTTGGATGACCCATTTGGATAAGTAGAGTGTGGATTGCCTTTATGTATGGTAGCAGCACTGCCACGTGTGCAGAGCACATTTTATAAAAAGGCATGCAAGAGGAATAGGATTTGCCCAGGAGGACAAATTAAAGCACTTCAAATGAAAGTCTTATCCCTGTTGCATTCCTTTAAGTCACTTTGTACGTGTTGTGTATGTGGCCAGAAATAAACTGACTCTTTATAACCACTAACTGCAAGAAAGATTTAGTTTCACAGCTTCCAGAGGCTTTATGAAGTTATTCAACAACAGCATTCCATGGATGTACATCTATTTTGCAGTTTACTGGTTATTTTAGGAATCTGAGTTTTGTTTATTTGCTTTGTTTCAAGCTCTTTTGATCCTATATGTATTTTTAACCCAGTCTACCAGGAAACATGCACTCTTCAAAGCCATGTTTCTTTATTTTCATCAGAAAAAATTATATTTTACTGCAATTGTCTTATTTTGATTAACTTTCTTGCAGTCTAAAAGGTAAATATGGTAGATTTGGTGTAAAAAAAAAAGAGTTTTCCTTAAAGCATTAAGTCCAGGTTTTGTGTTTAATTGCATGTTTCATGCTTCCAGGGGAAAGCGGACTTCATGGGCAGAACCTTTGCTAAGCCTGTGGTCAAGATGGCAGATGAGCACTACGGACCCCCACGCTTCCCCCCACAGCTGGAGTACTACCAGATCTACCGTGGGAACGGTGCTGCTGGAGAAATGCTGGCAGCCTTTGAACTACTTCAGGTTGGCTCCTCGCCATTCTCCAGGGAGCGTACCTTTCCTGTGGTTTTTATGCAGCCATGTTTTGTCTCTTAGATTGGCCCTAATGGAAAAGCAGATCTTCCTCCCATCGATGGTCCTACAGATATGGACCGTGGCCCGATCCTGCCTGTACCACTGGGAATCAGACCAGTGCTCAGCAAGTACAGGATTGAGGTGAAACATTCCCAATCACTTGTATAAACTTACAAAATACATTAGGCCCGGCTCACATGGAAGGATTTTAAAGTTGTTGAACATTTTTCAAAATGTGAGGGGATCCCATACATGGTGACAAAAACACCCTAGATGTAACAGTCTTGGTCCTATAGAGTGTGGTGTCTGGCCACATGGCAAAAAACTACACACTCCGCTTCTTTTTTCACAAATAGACGAGAAATCTTGCAAAACCTCTTTAGATCAAACGTGACGTTTGAGTAAACAAAAATGGTGGACTTCTGTCACCTCGCTTTCTTTGGCTACAGTTAACATTCAACAGGCAGCATGGCCGTTTGTCCTCCAAACTGGGCCAAGACAATCCAACATGTTGAATATCCCTGGTTTATGATCTGAGCAGTCCTAACGTGTTTCCGAGCAGATCAGAGGACTCCTAACACGCCTTACATGGTAATTTTCTTTAGAGCCATTATGTAATCAGGAGATCCTTAAGCTTGTCAGATTCAGAGAAACAGGTAAAAAGGCCTTAGTGGAACGGTCAATAACACCAGGTCACTTTATTTTGTTTAGGTTTTGTTCTGGGGCTTGAGGGACTTGAAGAGAGTGAACCTTGCTCAAGTGGATCGGCCTCGCGTGGACATCGAATGTGCAGGAAAAGGAGTGCAATCCGCCCTCATTCCCAACTACAAGAAGAACCCCAACTTCAGCACTCTTGTCAAGTGGTTTGAAGTGGTACGGAGTTAATTTCTTTCCATTCCAGTTTCATCAAGGGCAGTCTTGAAGTAAACAGACAAACTATAAAAAGCACAATACCATTTTCCAACTAAGTAAGTGTTCATGCTACATACCATCAGATAAGAACCAACACATGTATCTTCTGTGTGTCAGGACTTGCCTGAGAACGAGCTGCTCCACCCACCATTGAACATCCGAGTGGTGGACTGCAGAGCGTTTGGACGGTTCACTTTAGTCGGCAACACCGCAGTCACCACGCTGCGGAAGTTCATCTACAGGGGAGCTGACAAGCAGGCCAACAACTGGACCACTACAGGTTGAACCTTAAACCCGAGGCTCATGTTACATTCAAGCTTCACAGAAGTTTAATTACACTAAGTACAGTGAAGCTAATGGAAAGATGGACTGTGTGTTTAGGCATGTATTCCTGTGCTCTTCATAGGGTTTATTATCTTGAAAGTTCAACTTATAAATGATGTTTATTTCTCAGAGGAAATTGTTGTTGTCAGCATGGAACCGGAACCTGGCTTTAAGAAAATGGAAACTGTGGTCAAACTGGATTCTGTAAGTTTTACCTGTAAGATCATGCATCCTCAATCACAGATCAATGTAAAACTATTCACAATTCCTCCAAGGAATGAAGAAATGGTAATCCTCTGTTACAACCAGCTGCTATTTTAGCTGAATGTGCAAAAAGAACTGACTTTTTGTCATGTTTTTGTTGGCTAAGTTTGAGTTGCTGTGGCGGCCATGTTGAGTTAGATTTAATCCAACAGTTGATTGCAAATGTTTAGAATAGAATCAACGTTATTAATCCCACAGTGGGGACGTTCACTTGCTACAGCAGCACCAACACTTAGAGAAAAGGAAGAAGAAAAATAATAAGGCTACAGGTAAACACACAGAGGCAATAAACCAGGGCTGCCAACTTCTGAGCATTTCAAAGAGTGAGACGGGGTCATGGGGTTGGGAGCGGACAATTCGCCGACCGTTTGGAGCGTGGGGGGGGGGGGGGGGGGGGTAATATTGAGACATTTTGTCCTGTACAGAAGAGGATTAGAGCCACTGACAAGAGAAAGAAAAAAAAGAAAGAGAGTTCTTACTTTTTTCTCAGAATTCGGACTTATAATCTTGGAATTCTGACAGAGAATTCTGGGAAAAAAGTCAGAATTCTTTTTCTTTTCTCTTTTTTTCTTTTTAGTGGCCCTAATCCTCTTCCGTACCTCTGACTTTACAGAGGGAACTGACCTTTAATTAATACAAATTTTCTTTTGGTGAGGTAAATTTTACACCCAACTCTCCTGACTTCATCCAACTTCTTCACTCTAGTGCCATATTATTGTCTACACATGTCTACACCATAGTTAGACACTCATTTATATAGTTTATCAGCAAAAAAGTTGATTGGGGATGACTTGCTCTTTAAACTAAGAATTTCCATGTTGAAAAAGTGGTCAAGTTTGGATTGGCTCTTAGCTGCTACAGCTAATTTTGCCTCTTTGTTCATAAAAACAACTATTTTTAGGGTCTGTTGTACATGGCAGATGAAATTATATTTATAAATTTCAAAATATTTAACTAAATATGTGCCTTTCTTCTTTTGATGTTGGCCAGTGATAAAACATAAATCTATGGATCCAGGTTTTTGTGATATTACCAATCTACTTGAGGAAATAATGTCATATTTTAGCTGAATTACAATGATGTGATCACTGAAGTCTTTCCATACATTCCTCTGCAGTGCTCTGAAGCTGTAGTCAAAGTTGAGGTAAGCAGTTTAATTCATACATCTAAATAAAATGTTTACAGTGTGCCGAAATATCTCAAACCGTTTTTGACAAAAGTTGTTCCGTGTTGGCTAAAAGGATGAGGACAAGGATGGAAAGGGGAAAAAGAAAAAGAAGAAAGGAGAAGAACCTGAAGAGGAGGAGCTCGATGAGAGCATGTTGGACTGGTGGTCCAAATACTTTGCCTCCATTGAAACGCTGACTGAAGTGGGTTTCATCCATTTTTTTACAAGGTCTAGACGTCATGCCTGAAATAATATCTGGAATGTTTAACACATTTCTACTTTTTCAGGCTCTCAAGGCTCAAGAGGCAGCTCTGTCTGATTCAGAGGACAAAGACGACATGGACATCACCGATAGTGGAGGTAAAACCATATTAAACGTCTTTAAGATTAGGGTTAGGGTTTCATAATGTATTCTAATCAAATCAATAAAATCAAGACCTCCTAGAGACTCAGGTTTACTAGTGGGGAACCAGTCAGTAGCTGGGAGGCGGAGCCAAAATAAAGAATGAATAAACAAAAATGAATCTTTAATTCAATCTAATGAAACTATTCTTTTTATTGTTTTGATTTGAACATTGAAACACTGAAAGTTAGTTTTACCAGCTTCTACAACTATTGTGTGTAATTCAGTGGCAGCTTTCTGTTCACGCTTTAATCGCCACTCCTCTCAGATATCAAACCTGATTCTCCTGTAAAAGGAGGCAAGAAAGGAAAAGGAAAGAAGAAGAAACCACAGGTTGATCCATTCACTAAGAAAAAGCCAAAGCTGGATGAGCTGAAGGTACCGTATAGTTGAATTTGTTATTGGATCACTGAGGAGAATGTTTGCTCTCATGAACAGAAATAAATAACTATATGTGCTCAAAGGTATATCCAAAGGAACTGGAGAGTGAGTTTGACAACTTTGAGGACTGGTTGCACACTTTTAACCTGTTCAGAGGAAAAGGAGGGGATGACGATGACCAAAGTATGACAGATGAGGACCGAGTTGTTGGAAAATTTAAGGTGAAAACCTATTTATTTACTGTTATTTTGCCAGCTTGGTAAATTTTTTGTATAATAAAATATACAAATATATTTTTATGTGTTTTAATCCAGGGCTCACTGTGTGTGTACAAAGTGTCGGATGATCTGCCCAGAGAAGTGAGCTTTGACTCCAACTTGGGAATGTTTCAGAACATTCCAAGCAATGATCCCATCAATGTCCTCGTCCGCATTTATGTCATCAGGGTGAGCTGCCTGCTCTAAAAGCATCATTTACAGCTATTTTCAATATGAAGCTATTGAAAATATCCTTCTTTGAAGGCAACAGATTTGCATCCAGCAGACATAAATGGAAAAGCTGACCCCTACGTCGCAATCAGACTGGGAAAAACTGAGATTAAAGACAAAGAAAACTACATCTCCAAACAGCTGAACCCTTTGTTTGGCAAGTAAGCGATTAAAGGCTGTTTCTGGTACAGTTAATGAATTATCTGACGCCTTTTCATTCTAAATGTCATGTCTCAGATAAGATTGTAATCATTTCTCATATTGTCAGATCTTTTGATGTGGAAGCCACATTCCCAATGGATTCCACACTGACTGTGTCAATTTACGACTGGGATCTGGTGGGAACTGATGATCTGATTGGAGAAACCAAAGTGGACCTGGAGAACCGCTTCTACAGCAAACACAGAGCCACGTGTGGCATTTCATGTAACTACGCCATGTAAGAACCAAATACCCAACATGTAGAAGTGAGAGGAGGCAAAAAAAGTGTGGGATTTATAAGTACTTTGGATCAATTCAACAGTATAATCACTTGAGTTGCGTCAGTCATGGATAAGTAAACAAAACATTCCATTTGAACTACTTTTAAGGAACACTGCAGCATTTTTAAAGTGTGTTTATGTACAGAATCTATACATTCAACATCTTACCTGTTGTAGATTGTTTACTGAATTATCTCAGTTTATGAAAATATCATTCAAGTGTGATGAGCTAACAGCTAATCTGACCAAAGCTAAGTTTAAACTGTGTTGATTATTGAGATATTCCACATTGATCTCAAATATCAGCTCAGATTCCCATAAAAGATGTTTTCAGATGTTTTCAATGTATTAGATCATCGTGGCGAAACTTAGCTCTTGATGTCTAATGTACAAATCAATTGTTTTCAGGGTTAAAAAAGTGGGTTTCACCATTTCTCTGCTTAAGTTAAAGCTAAATAAGCTGCTTCAGTGGGAATAAGATATGAAATAATTCGTGGATTAACTTTAGCTCACTGTTTATTTGAGTATCAGTGATTTCACTGTGTTAATTTTGGGTGACTACTCCGTTTCCTTTCTAGCCATGGTTACAATGTGTGGAGAGATCCCTTGAAACCAACACAAATCCTGGCTAAATTGTGTAAAGATGGCAAGTTAGATGGACCACACTATGGTCCTGGAGGAAGAGTGAAGGTTGAGAATCGGGTCTTCATGGGACCAACTGAGATAGAGGATGAAAATGGTATTTAAAGACAAAAAACTTTTTCATATTTCTTTAGAAAATTTAACCTTAATAAAAAGTGATTTTGATGTTATTTTAGGTTTGAAGAAACAGACTGAGGAACACCTTGCTTTGAGTGCTCTGAGGCACTGGGAGGACATCCCTCGAGCTGGCTACAAACTGGTCCCAGAGCACGTGGAGACTAGACCACTGCTCCACCCTGATAAACCAGGAATTGAACAAGTATGTTACTGGCATATTTTTAAAAGACATGTGTGTGTGTGTTTATCACAAAACAAAAAACAGCATTTCTTCCATTTATATGCACGCAGGGAAGAATTGAGATGTGGGTAGATATGTTTCCCAAGGGCATGACTGCCCCTGGGCCTGCACTGGACATTTCACCAAGAAAACCAAAGAAGTAAGCATCTAAATGTTATATGTGACTCATAAGTGATCAAAGATCCAGTTTGAAACCAGCACATTTAGGAATGAAAAGCATTGCTAAGATTCAAATACTGTCATCTGTGCAGGTTTGAGCTGAGGGTCATCGTGTGGAACACAGATGAAGTGGTTTTAGAGGATGACGACATCTTCACTGGCGAGAAGTCCAGTGACATATTTGTGCGAGGGTAAGTGTTGTGCACAGTCAAACCAGGATTTAAAAAACAAACATTTGTATTTTAAGGAAGAATTGTGAATCTACTCACCGCTTGTTTTCTGCAATAGTTGGCTGAAAGGACAGCAGGAGGACAAACAGGACACTGATGTCCACTACCACTCCATCACAGGAGAGGGAAACTTCAACTGGCGTTTTGTCTACCCCTTCGACTACCTCTTAGCTGAGGAGAAGATCGTCATCTCAAAGAAAGAGTCCATGTTTGCCTGGGATGAGACTGAATACAAGATTCCTCCTCGGCTTAATCTGCAAGTGTGGGATGCAGATCACTTCTCAGCTGATGATTTCCTGGGTAAAATCCATAGACAGTAGATATAAAATGGACAAACACTTTGTCACGTCACCTGTAGGTTTTTGAAGAACTGAACTGAAATCCAGTGGGTGGTTCACACTACCACCATTTTGGCCACGTCACAGGTCTTCTCCCTACCTGAAAATAGAAAAATAGAGCTGGGAGTAAGGCTATGAGGTTGGGGGACAGATGATTGACACCCAATAAACTCTGAGCCAATGTAGCTACAAGCTAACCGAAGCAAACTGAGATCTGTGAGCCCTTTTAGCCAGACAACCATGGTTGAGCAACTCTACCCAACACTTTAAACATGAAGCCGAGACTGAGGCCTCTCTGACAAATATCAGTCAAAAGGACATGCCCCTAATCATTCTTAATTTCAAGCTTTAATAACATAAAAACTGATGAGTTACAAAAAATATTCACCCCACTCAGACGACCATAAATGGACCAATTTTTTTGAACCAGGCTATAAACATGTTTCTGCTGTGAAGGTGGCATTTTTAGCATGGCTGTCAATGGAAACTTGCTCCTTTCTGGAGCCAGACCCTAGTGGTTATGAGGAGAACTGCAATGTCTGTTACTTTTGTATTGGTCTTCCATTTTGCAGGTGGAGTTTCCCCCTTTGTACAAACCAAATTCAACCATGATACATGCAGTTAAATTTAACACTTTAGTTGGAAATTTCATAAATTTATAGGAAACTAGGCAGTTTTTAATTTGAGTGATGATGTGTCTACACAGGTGCGATTGAGTTGGACCTGAACCGGTTCCCACGTGGTGCCAAGACTGCTAAGCAGTGCACCATCGAAATGGTGACAAATGAAGCAGAGATGCCCATGGTGTCCATCTTCAAACAGAAGCGGATCAAAGGCTGGTGGCCTTTTGTGGCCAGAAATGAAGAAGATGAGTTTGAACTCACGGTGGGTATCATTGCAAAATGAAGTCATCATGTGACACTGAGAACGCTAAAACGTAGGACAATGTTTAAGAATAAATTATGCTGAATATAAATGTTTTAACATTAAGATATTAGTTTTAAAACATATGGAAGAAACACAGTCTAACAAGAATATGATGCTTTTAGACATTGAATTCATGACATAAAATTTTAATTAGGTGAAATTATGTGTTTAATTTTTTAAATTTAAAATTCACCAGCAAAAATGTAATCAGTAAAATTCACCTTCAGAATTGTATCTTCCAAAATTCGACTGCAGAATTTCAATGTAAAAATGCTATTAGCAAAAATTCTTCAACAAAAATTTTGCTGCAAAAATTCAACAACTGACGAGACCTCCTGGTGGCGACCCAAGCAATAATCGGCACTCAATCAGGTAGACACCTCACTGGTGTCTATCAGAGCAGGAGAAACAGCTGGTTACTGCCATTTCATCTTCAGGAATTACAACCATAGTCTCTAAATAAAAGCATTGAAAGGGTCATTTGAATAGCATAACATACTGCTTTTGTGTTTTGCCTTCATTCTGACATTTTTACGTGCATTGACATTTTTTAAATCTCCATCACAAGACACCTGTAAATTCAGGGATCTGGAAGGCATGGCAGCATAAAGAAATCCTGATTAGACAGATTAGATTAATCTCACATCTCTATTCAAACGACAGCCTTCCCTCATCATGTCCATGTTTATTACATAATACCTGGATCGGTTTTTCACAGACCTGTTTAATGGCACTCCTCCCATCTACATGTGTAGGCTTGTTGGCTTGCTGATTGCTTTGTTTGTTACTAAAGGGTAAAGTGGAAGCTGAGCTGCACCTTCTGACGGGGGAGGAAGCAGAGAGAAGTCCAGCTGGTGAAGGACGCAATGAACCAGAGCCTCTGGAGAAACCCAAGTACGAAAAGATCCCTTGTTTGTTTTTTCTTGTAAACTGTGGAGTTTAAATTTCGACTATTACATTTTCTAGTTTTTGAGGGACCTATGATTGTTTATACAAAACTAAAGTAATGAAAAAGACCAAACTGTATCCTTACCCTCTGTGGTGTCCAAACCACATTCTGGTGTTTGACTGGTTTGGGTAACTTTCGTTCATGTCTCTGAACCCCAACAGCCGACCAGACGTCGCCCTCCTCTGGTTCCTCATCCCACTCAAAGCTGCTAAACACCTGGTTTGTGACCAGTACAGATGGCTGACCATCAAGATAGTCACAGCGCTCCTGCTGCTGGCCATCTTGGGTCTCTTCCTCTACAACATGCCTGGTTACATGGTGAAGAAAATGCTGGGAGCTTAAACAAGGCAGGAAAGACTTTCCCTTTTTTGGAGTGTGGTACAAAATGACATTGGGGGGGGGGGGGGGGGGGGGTCTTTTTCCACAAAACTATTTAATAAACTATGAGGAATTTATAAAACATGTATTAATTCAAGTTCATCCCAATAATAGAAGTGATAATTTGTTTGAGTGTGTCCATTGTTGGAAATTAATTTGTACAAATCTTTTATTGGGTTGATAACTGGATAGCTCTGGGTGGTTTCCTGAAATGTGTTACTTGTTCACATTACATTCGTTCTTGACTCCTAACTTTCATTCATATTTGTTATATTTGACATTTTATTGAAAATATATTTAGTAGAGTTGGCTTGAGTTCTTTTTTTCTGGTTTTTGCCTTCATGAATATGTCAAGTTTGTGAATAAAAGTACATTTAGACCATTCAGTGTCTCAGACTGACTTTGTTTTCTTTAAAAATGTATTTCACTTAAAGGGATTTGATAAGATACTTGATTTGGGGTTTGATATTTCCTGCCTCTTGTTCCTTATCTATCTCAAAGCTGCAAAACCCAGTTAGCCAACTTTACTACATCTGTTAAAGATTGTGCATCCTTGGAAAGAACAACACAGCTAAACGTGTAGGCAGAGCCGCATAAAATGGCCCCAAATCACCTGTTGGTGTTCGCTTTTGCCTTTAGATGTTTGTTGCATCAAAAAAATAGATCAAACTTCTTTAAAATTTGTGTTAAATTTATATTGTTTGCTATTTTGATCTTCTGGCCAGTCCTGGTCAAGCAGTTACAGAAGAATAAACAGACAACTAAACAGAAAAACAAAAGGTACGGTTACACTTTGGCTGATTAGATTATTTGACAAGTGGGGAACACAAGAGACAAAGACACCATTGATAAGGCATCCAAGGAAATTTTACCAGAATTTTTTTAGGAGGATCAAGTGTTGTAGCAGCTGGAACAATATGATAAAAGGTACACAATGGAAATAGATTTTTGTACCCAGCAATTCATTTGCAGTAAACAGCAGCATGTGCGTTTTTCTTCTCTGATTTAGAGAAATCAGTCCTAAAGATTCGATGTACAGCTCCCAAGGCTCTTGACCCAACCAGATCCTGTGAGGCCCGCCGCTCAGAGGGCTGTACCGATACTCGTAGAGTCTGGGGTTACAATACATAACCATAAGTCATCCCCCCCCCTTCAGAAGCAACCCCCCGCACGCTCTCAGGGATGACACAGGGATGGGTCGAAACGTTCTGCACCACCCCCCGCCACGGTCGGTCAACCCCCACGAATTTACTCTACTGATTCAGCACAAATGGCCTGTATTTGATATAGCACCTTCTAGAGTCCTGGAACCCCCCAAGGCACTTTACAATAAAATCATTCATTCAACCATTCACACACACAGTCACATGCTGGTGGGGATGAGCTACGATGTAGCCACAGCTGCCCTGGGGGCGCACTGACAGAGGCGAGTCTGACGTAAACTGGCACCACCGGTCCCTCCGAACACTACCAGCAGGCAAGGAGGGTTAAATGTCTTGCCCAAGGACACAACGACAACAACAGACCGGGCGGGGCTGAAACCTGCGACCTTCAGATTACGGGGCAAGCACTTAACCCCTGTGCCATTGTCACCCCCACACAAGCATCAAGGACACATCCAGTGCCTAAATCCCAAGCAAAACACTGTCCTCCTAGAGGGCTGCTACGCAGGCATCATAGGCAAGAAGGAGCAGCCGGGGAGAGGGAGTGATGAAAGTCACAATGCGTATTCACACACATGGTTTGCCCGACAACAGCCCATTATGTTCTTAGTGACCCAGCAGGGCAATCTTATGTGCTGCTAAATTGTAACCACATTGCAACCATCTTGACTCTTGTGTGCTGCTTCAACTTTGGCTGCAGCTTTCCCTAGCAACTCGAGTCCTACACTCGAGATGGTGCCGGGGGGGTGTGGTTGACAGGTGAGTCACGTGTCTGATAAAGACCGATAGCCCAGTTCAGAAAAGCTCTCTTGGTTTGGGGGGGTGTAGGTAGAGAGTAGGGTCCTGACTTTGGCAGGCCCAGTCGAAGTGTTAGACCAACAGTTCATGGCCGCTAAGATGGCATCTGCGTGGGAGATACCGTCGATTTGCAACTCAGAGCAGCGCAAGAGTAAACCACGAGGAAGGAGCAAATAATTGGATACTTTTATTTTCAAGATCGTTCAAAATCCACATCTTGTTTGTGATCAAAGTTTGATTAATCGACCAGCTCTAATATTAGTATAGAACAGTGCCTGACTGCAATTCCTAAGCAGTTTGTTGTCTCTTGTCTCAATCTGCCTGAATGGGACACAACCCTCCTAACTCTTAAAGCCAAACATGCTGGTAGAGGGCCATCATTGAAATTTGAAATGACTTGTCATTTCATTTATTGTCACAGAGCCTATGTGATACTATACATAGATAAGGATTTCAGGTCATACTGTCCAATCCCAATAGAGCACCAGAAAAACTGTGACAAGCAACAGAAATAAAACAATACCTGGACTTGATGGAGCTGTTGTTTGGGGTCAATAAATTCTTGGAAATCAGTCTGATGTTTCAGAACTCAATCAAATGAAAACCCTGGTTGTTCTGACATGATGTGATTTATGAGTGGTGTGAACAGTACATATCATCCTTGATGACACGGTTCCATTTTTGAAGATTATAGCAAGCACCCTGATTGATCCAGGTTCTAGGTCTGGTTCTAAGCCATAAAATGGCTTATTCAACACTACAATGAGTCAAGTTTATACACGTATTGGCTTGTTCATTCAGCCCTTGATTAAAGATAAATATTTATGTTTTGTGTGATCATGAATGATTTATGAAGCGTAGATGGGTATTTCGTCCCTTCCATCCACTTGGGATACTTTTAGGATGTGACAGCAGCTGTCTCTGAGCTCAGAGACAAATTACAGGACATCCTGAGAGATATCTGGAGAAATGTCTCTCACTGATGTGGAGCTTTGGGAGCATTTCACACCGAATGCGGAACAAATGCAGTCCGGTTTCAGCATTGATCAAAAATCACTGAATCCATAAAGAACATACGCACCAGCTACGGTGTGGTGCAGTATGGAGCTAGGATTGGGACAATATTACATGTAACCTGTACCAAGTTTTGTAACTTGTAACATATTTTGTTATTGTAACTTTTGTTTTGTAGCATATAATTCACATTTTGTTACTCGTAACTCTTGTTTTATAGAACGTTATTCTCGTTTTGTAGCATGTAACTTTCGGAACTAACATGAAACTTTCATTTTGTAACTTGCAGAAAAAAAAGTGTATGTGCAAGTTTTAAATGACAACTCTCAAAACACACATCTCAGAATACAGTTACAAGATTTAAGTCTACGTGTACAAAACATTCTGTCCCAATTCTAGCTTCCTTCCCAAGGAACCAATGACGAGAATTACATGCTGCAAAATGGAAGCTATGTGTTACATAATACGAATTGCATTTTACAAAATAGAAATTCAGGGTTACAAAACGAGTATTATGTGTTAAAAAATAAAAGTCACAGTTACAAACATCAGAGGTGTGGACTCAAGTCACATGACTGGACTCGAGTCAGACTCAAATCATTATTTTAATGACTGAATCGACTTGCATCTGTTGAATTGATGACTGAGGATATTTGATAATTTAGCACAAAAATGGCACGACATGGCCAAAAATCATAAATCATTCTTCAATCTGGGTTTGATCTTGTACTGCTAAATGCAGCAGCACTTTGTTTATAATCAGTTTCAGTTGCACTTTGTTTGAGCAAATAAATTATGACTTAAGAAGCTTTATTTCTGGAATTTATTCATTATCATTAAATTGAAGTTGGACAGATGACTTGATTATGACTTGAAAATTCAAAGTTAAGAACTTGGACTTCCACATCAATGACTTTGGACTTGACTTGGTTGTCTTTGACTTGGACTTGACTCAAGACTTGACTGGAAAGACTTGTGACTTGCAGTGACTTGGTCATACCTCTACAAAACGTGTGACAAATTACAGAACTTTGTACAAGTTACTTGTAATATTGTCCCAATCCTAGCTCCATTGAGCAGAGCTCTGGAAAGTGTCCGCATGGATTCTTTTTTCGGAAACTGCATGCAGATTATCATTAAGTTAAATAAATTCCATTCTTTTTGCCTCTTTAGTTTGTGTCCTGTCCTTAAGCTTGAGTCAAAAATGAAATAAATTCAGAGGCAATAAAATCTTATAATGTAAAATTTCTTACAAAAGCCCCATTAGTTTAAGTCTGTGCTGTTTGTTTTCTACAAATGCCCTCACAACTACACCACAGTCATTTGTTCAATAATTGTTTATTTATTGAAAAGATGAGAGTTCTGTAGACACGACCCATGACTGCATGATCCAGACAGCTGATAACAGCCTGTTGTCAAATTAAAAAACAGCGAGGGAAGAAGAGAGGATGTCCTTGTTCGCTTTGATCCAAAATGATAACCAGCCAACAGGTGAAACATCTCTAAATTCATCATTTACTCAAATAAAAACATAAAAACACAAACCTTTAATTTTTCTTTGTAGCAGAAAACAACAACAACACCTATCAGGTGATTATTTTTTGTCAGAGTGACAAACATGTTAAACTGCTACATAACCATGTTATCAGTCTGCAGGCGCCGTCTGTTACATTTAACCCCAAAGGCTTCTGCCTCTTCAGCCGATGGCACCAACTCAGCATCGTGCCACAGAATCTCCACACAAAGTACATTTACAGAATTTCACTCATTCACAGTCAAAATGTAACATTCTCATGCTCAGAAACAATCAAACAAGTACCTGCAGATCCACCGGTCTGAGGTGTGACTCGTCACACCAAAACCTTCCTTCAGTGTTTCGAGCACAAACCACAGCTTGCTTCAGTTTTAGTTTCACGTACAGCAGACCTGCAACAACTTTGCTACAGAACGTCAGTCCAAATAAAATATAAATTAAATAAATAGGAAATAGCAGTTAAAAAGTCATTTTAGTTACAGTTTTAGTGGCTCGAACGGTGTCCCGATGGCACATTGGAGCAGTCTTGATCTGTGCTCTGATGTTAATAACAACGGCACATTAAGGAAGGCAAATAAAATACTCTAGAATTGGCAAAGACGCTATAATTTAAAAATCAAAATGCTGGTAATATTTACAGACTTAAACTCAAGTGTTTGATACAACAACCTTTATTCCAGGCTCTCCTTGATTTTCTGCGTTACTCATGCTAAAATGACTGGGATTTGTCCACATTACTGTTATTGTTACGGTGTAAGTGGAGACGAGGAGGAGGAGCAGCGAACGGTTGGGAGGTGATGGGATGGATCACCGACAGATGTGCATATGAGAAAGTAAGAGCGCAGAAATAATGATGGGCTTTTCTAGGTTGTGTGCAGGGAATAGAAAATAAACGAGGACATAAAGAAAAAGAGAAGGGAGATGGGAATGCTGTGGGGGAGGGAGACGATGGGTTCAGTATTCATCCTGGTCCAGGTGAGCTTGTTCGTCAAGGTCCTCGTCTTCTGGGGGTGCGAAGCCTTCCTGAAATTAGAATGAAAAGGACCATCTGAGCTGTATTCGTGTTAGCCTAAGAGGTTAAACAGCTTCAACACATTTGTTTTGCGTAGTCCAGCAGGTGGATATGTCTAAGGACTTGTCACAACCCTTAAAGGTCAAATTTAATCATATTTTAATACATTTGTAGAGGTCTCTAGTAGGAATGAATGCCTTGCAAGTCGTTCGTCAGGTAAACAAAAGCACCGGTGTGCCTGTTTGAGAACAGAGAAGTCGGCTGAAGGATGATAGGATTTGGTGTCTTATTCCCTGATATTTGGGGTGACAGTGGCACAGGAGTTAAGTGCTCGATCCGTAATCGGAAGGTTGCAGGTTCGAGCCCCGCTCAGTTTGTCGCTGTCATTGTGTCCTTGGGCAAGACACTTGACCCCCCTTGCCTGCTGGTGGTGGTCGAGGGACCGGTGGCGCTAGAGCTGGGCAGCCTCACCTCTGTCAGTGCGCCCCAGGGCAGCTGTAGATACATCGTAGATCATCCCCACCAGGGTGTGAGTGTGTGTGAGTGGGTGAATGGGTGATTGGGTTGTAAAGCTCCTTGGGGGGTTCCAGGACTCTAGAAGGTGCTATATCAAATACAGGCCATTTACCATGTTTGCACATCTCACCTCTGACATGGATGTTTTATCTCCACAACTAAAACAAGTCTGGAGAAGTTCTACCTCCAGCTTGCGTGATGGAGTTGCTAATGCTAACGGTTAGCTTCTACTAGTTGCGATGTTGGCTGTTTCTCAATACACAAGGACGCTAGTATGTTCTTGTGTACTAGACAAGTATGTTCTTGGCAGGGACACCAGAAAGTCTGTTCTACCGAGTAAGGGAGGACGAGGACGGCATTTGAAACAGAACCGTATTCCGTTGCGTCATGGCAACAAGGGTTGCTTGTTGGAACGGTAAAATAATACGACCTGATATAAAAACAAAAGTCTAGATTGTTCCTTAAATAACAAAATAACGAGAATGTATTATATGTAGCCTACTTTTATTTAAAACTGATAAAATACCAGCATTTCCCGCTCTTTAAGGGGGCGACGGTGGCACAGGAGTTAAGTGCTCGCCACGTAATCGGAAGGTTGCAGGTTCGAGCCCCGCTCAGTCTGTCGCTGTCGTTGTGTCCTTGGGCAAGACACTTAACCCACGTTGCCTGCTGGTGGTGGTCGAAGGGACCGGTGGCGCCAGTGCTCGGCAGCCTCGCCTCTGTCAGTGCGCCCCAGGGCAGCTGTGGCTATATTGTAGCTCATCCCCACCAGTGTGTGAGTGTGTGCGTGTGAATGGGTGAATGACTGATTGTGTTGTAAAGCGCCTTGGGGGGTTCCAGGACTCTAGAAGGCGCTATATCAAATACAGGCCATTTACCTTTTTTTTTTTTTACCATTTAATGAATAAAAAGTTTATCATAACAGAGCTACGTTGCTTTTATTTTGATAGTGGGTTAGCTAATTAGAATGTTGAAGGATCGTAAAGATCTTTCATGGCGGTTAAAACGAAGAGTCGGAGTACCCGGCCCAGAGGGTTACCGGGGTCCCACCCTGGAGCCAGGCCTGGGGTTGGGGCCCGTGAGCGAGCGCCTGGTGGCCGGGCTTTCGCCCATGGGGCCAGGCCGGGCCCAGCCCGAACCGGATACATGGGCTCGTCCAACTGTGGACCCACCACCCGCAGGAGGAACATGAAGGGTCCGGTGCAATGCGAATCGGGTGGCAGACCAAGGCGGGAGCCTTGGCGGTTCAATCCCCGGACAAGAAAACTGGTTTTTGGGACATGGAACGTCACCTCGCTGGCGGGGAAGGAGCCGGAGCTTGTGGCAGAGGTTGAGCGGTACCGGCTAGATATAGTCGGACTCACCTCGACACATTGCATTGGCTCTGGAACCCGAGACCTGGAGAGGGGTTGGACACTCTACTTTGCTGGAGTTGCTCCGGGTGAGAGGCGGAGGGCTGGGGTTGGCTTTTTGTTAGCTCCGAGACTCTCTGCCTGTGTGTTGGGGTTTACCCCGGGGGACAAGAGGGTAGCTTCCTTGCGCCTTCGGGTCGGGGAACGGGTCCTGACTGTTGTTTGTGCTTATGGGCCAAATATCAGTTCAGAGTACCCACCCTTTTTGGAGTCCTGGGACGAGTGCTAGATAGTGCTCCATCAGGGGACTCCATTGTCCTGCTGGGGGACTTCAATGCTCACGTGGGCAATGACAGCTTGACCTGGAGGGGTGTGATTGGGAGGAACGGCCCACCTAATCTGAACTCGAGCGATGTTTTGTTATTGGACTTCTGTGCAAGCCGCAGTTTGGCCATAACGAACACCATGTTCGAACATAAGGATGCCCACCGGTACACTTGGTACCAGGGCAGCCTAGGTCACAGGTCGATGATAGATTTTGTAGTCGTATCATCTGACCTGCGGCCGTATGTTTTGGACACCCGAGTGAAGAGAGGGGCGGAGCTGTCAACTGATCACCACCTGGTGGTGAGTTGGATCAGATGGCAAGGGAACATGCCGCGTAGACCTGGCAGACCCAAACGCATAGTGAGGGTCTGCTGGGAACGCCTGGCAGAAGAACCTGTCAAGACGGTCTTCAACTCCCACCTCCGGCAGAGCTTTGACCACGTCCCGAGAGCAGTGGGGGACATTGAGTCCGAGTGGGCCTTGTTCCACTCTGCGATTGTCGAGGCGGCTGTTGCTAGCTGTGGTCGTAAGGTGGCCGGTGCCAGTCGTGGTGGCAACCCCCGTACCCGCTGGTGGACACCAGAGGTTCGGGGAGCCGTCAGGCTGAAGAAGGAGGCCTACAGGGCGTGGCTGGTCTGTGGGTCTCCGGAGGCAGCAGACAGGTACCGGATAGCCAAGCGGGGTGCAGCAGTGGCAGTTGCCGAGGCAAAATCTCGGGCGTGGGAGGAGTTTGGTGAGGCCATGGAGAAAGACTATCGATCGGCTCCAAAGAGGTTCTGGCAAACTGTCCGGCGCCTCAGGAGAGGAAGGCAGCAACTCGCTCACACTGTTTACAGTGGGGATGGGGAGCTGCTGACGTCAACTGAGGCTATAGTCGGACGGTGGAAGGAATACTTTGAGGAGCTCCTCAATCCCACCAATGCGCATTCTGAGGAGGAACCAGAGCTGGGAGGCCTGGGGATGGACTGTCCGATCTCGGGGGCAGAAGTTGCTGAGGTAGTCAAACAACTACACAGCGGCGGAGCCCCGGGGGCGGATGAGGTTCGTCCTGGGTATCTCAAGGCTATGGATGTTGTAGGGCTGTCATGGTTGACACGTCTCTACAACATTGCGTGGTCATCGGGGGCAGTTCCTAGGGAGTGGCAGACCGGGGTGGTGGTCCCCATCTTTAAGAAGGGTGACCTGAGGGTGTGTTCCAACTATAGGGGGATCACACTCCTCAGCCTCCCTGGAAAGGTCTACGCCAAGTAGGGCTGCAACAAACGATTATTTGGATAATCGATTAATCGGATGGGGTCTCGACACGATTAATCGATTAATCGGATTACATGGGGAAATTTTTAAAAACTGCTAGGGAAATGTTATTTCTCTCCTTCCTTCACTTTATTTAACACAACATTATTAGAAAACAGTTCAATAGCAGAAAAACAACATGCCATCACCTAAATTGTCTTATAAGGTGTATAGACAGAGACCCTAAGCTACATCTATCTGTGACCTAAAATGCTTGGTCCAAGTTAAACAGCTTAAGGGCAATTCTCATGTGTTTTGTTTGATCTCATCTGTTGACATTTATTTTAAATGTAATTAAACATAGGCTGTGAATTAATCAAAATTGATCACTATTTCCAAAAATGACTGAAAAAATACCAAATAAAGCAAAAGCAAATGAATGCCATCCTCCTTGCGATGATGCCCTGGGCAACTGCCATAAAGTCACATCAAGAAATGTTGCTGATCATTCCAATGATCCCAAATAGACTCACATTAGGCCACATGAAAGCAACTGAACCCAAAAATATATTAACCAGTATATAACTGCACTCTCACACAACACGCCTGCAGCAACAGTTAGGACTCCTCCCTCCCTTTTAAAAGCGTTTTTGCTTCTGAGGACATTGTGGTTGTAAAACCACACGCTAGTAGTCTGGCCCCGGTGTGATCAACCAGTTTCTGTGGGAATGTGACGGCGGAACCAGGGCCAGATTAACACTTTGTTGTACCCTGGGCAACAATATTCAAGGGCTCCATCATCACGACCCAAGGATCACCATAATGTGGTCACATACAGAATATTTTACTGTAATATGAAGTAAATATACTCAATACTTGAATGCCTGACAACACGTAACCTGCCCAGAGTAACCTTTGACCCACCTCGTGTGGACTGACCAATGAGGAGAGGGTCTTAACTTGAGGCCCTCTCTTCATTGGTCAGTCTGCATGAGACTGACTCTCAACTGACGTTCAGTCATAGGCAGCGAAGCGTCTCTGTGCAGCGCAAAAGCCCGGGTGGACAGTTTGTTTAATGTAGGGTGATCATATTTAATATAGGGTGATCATATTTCCATTTCCAAACAAGAGGACAGGGGATCTGTGCCTATGACGTCACACTATGGCAACGCCACACAAACCATGTTGGGACCCATTTTTTGTAAGAACTAAATTAATATCAGATTCTGCCAATTAAAGGGCTCTAAAACAATTCATATGTAAATATTTTGCATATTTAATGCAAAATCTAATTTTTCTGCTTTAATGCTGCAACAAGGTTTTATTAATAATAAATTATTATACCTTTTGTTTTACTACAGCATCGGTAAGCTTCCTGTGCACAGATTATTAAGGATGCTTGTTTCAGATGTGAGATTAGACGATAGGATCAATGAAAAAATAAGTTGTCACACACTCCATGGAAACTTTCAGGGAATCCACAAATGGTGGCTTTCACATGGTTTTGTTACTTTTAAAAAGTTTAGAAAAGCAGCAGATGAGACAGCATGTCTGATAATTTAGTTTTTCATCTGATAATATTAGAGCATGTCAGTCATGTCTGAGGGGCTTTTATAAACACCATATAACTAACACTACTGGAGAGGGTATGGATTACACAGAGGCTTCTGGGGAGCCCATTAATGGGGGGTGGGGGGGGCATTTTGCTTTGGCCCCCAAAATGTCTTGAAACGGCCCTGGGTGTGTGACTGAGTTTTGAAGGTGCTCTGAATTGTATCAGATGTATAATTATTACATGTGTATAACTTATTGTTTTTTACTGGTAAAAACGTGTAGTGGAGATAAATCTACCTACATTTTACTTTTCAACACTTTGTTTTGTTTTCTTGTTTTTATTTAACTATTTTCCTGTCCTGTCCTGTCTGTCTCTCATCTTCCTGCATCTCCTCTAAATTCTCCAGAAAATCTGTTGCCTGGATTCTTACCTTTTCACCTCATCAGTTACTTTTGAGCAGATCAAAGAGATCTCCTGACCACACAGCGGAGAGCGTGTTTTCGATGCTGCGTGAGGTGACAGCACAGGTGATGAGCTCCGCAGTAGCGCGCTTCAGGTACAAATAAGACAAAATAGAGAACATGTGCGGACATGAACGATCGTGTGCTAATTATAGTTTTTTGGTTGAACCACTTTGAGAATGGACCGTGCGCTGGAAGCAGCTGCCTGGATCGCTGCACAACAATGCCGAACCGGTTCGCAGCAGCACAAGTCTGCCGGCTCTCCCTCGCGCCGATCTGCCGGTACCGGCTCTCTCTCGCGCTGATCTGCCGGCTCTCCCTCGCGCTGATCTGTGGGCTCTCCCTCGCGCTGATCTGCGGCTCTCCCTCGCGCTGATCTGTGAGCTCTCTCTCGCGCTGATCTGTGAGCTCTCTCTCGCGCTGATCTGTGAGCTCTCCCTCGCGCTGATCTGTGAGCTCTCTCTCGCGCTGATCTGCGGCTCTCCCTCGCGCTGATCTGCGGCTCTCCCTCGCGCTGATCGGCTCTCCCTCGCGCTGATCTGACTTGCTCTGGTCTGCGCGCAATGGCGGGCGGGAAGGGGGGGCGCTTTTGGAAGAGTTGTGCGACACAACGAATCGATGAGGCAATTCGTTGCCAACGCTTTTAGTAATCGATTTTCATCGAATTTATCGATTCGTTGTTGCAGCCCTAACGCCAAGGTACTGGAGAGGAGGGTCCGATCGATAGTTGAATCTCAGATAGAGGAGGAGCAATGTGGTTTTCGTCCTGGCCGTGGAACTGTGGACCAGCTCTATACCCTTGCAAGGGTGATGGAGGGGGCATGGGAGTTTGCCCAACCAATCCACATGTGCTTTGTGGATTTGGAGAAGGCTTATGACCGTGTCCCCGGGGGCACCCTGTGGGGGACGCTCCAGGAGTATGGGGTGGGTGGCTTTCTGTTGAGGGCCATTCAGTCCCTTTACCAGAGGAGCGTGAGTTTGGTCCGCATAGCCGGTAGTAAGTCGGACCTGTTCCCAGTGAGGGTTGGACTCCGCCAGGGCTGCCCTTTGTCACCGGTTCTGTTCATCACTTTTATGGACAGAATTTCTAGGCGCAGCCGTGGTGTGGAGTGTGTCGAGTTTGGTGGCAGGAGAATCTCGTCTCTGCTTTTTGTGGATGATGTGGTCCTCCTAGCTTCATCCAGCTCTGACCTTCAGCTCTTGCTGGGTAGGTTCGCGGCCGAATGTGAAGCGGCTGGGATGAGGATCAGCACCTCCAAATCTGAGACCATGGTTCTCGACCGGAAAAGGGTGGCTTGCCACCTCCGGGTCGTGAGAGAGGTCCTACCTCAAGTGGAGGAGTTTAAGTATCTCGGGGTCTTGTTCACGAGTGAGGGTAGGAGGGATCGGGAGATCGACAGGCGGATTGGTTCGGCGTCTGCAGTGATGCGGACGCTGAGCCGATCTGTCGTGGGGTAGAGGGAGCTGAGCCAGAAAGCCAGGCTCTCGATTTACCGGTCGATCTACGTCCCAATCCTCACCTATGGTCATGAGCTTTGGGTAATGACCGAAAGAACGAGATCGCGGATACAAGCGGCCGAAATGAGTTTCCTCCGTAGGGTGGCCGGGCTCAGCCTTAGAGATAGGGTGAGGAGCTCGGACATTCGGGAGGACTCGGAGTAGAACCGCTGCTCCTCCGGATCGAAAGGAGCCAGTTGAGGTGGTTTGGGCATCTGGTCAGGATGCCTCCTGGACGCCTCCCCGGGGAGGTGTTTCGGGCATGTCCTGCCGGCAGAAGGCCCCCGGGTCGACCCAGGACACGTTGGAGGGGTTACATCTCCAATCTGGTCCGGGAACGCCTTGGGGTCCTGCCGGAGGAGCTGGTGGACAAGGCCGGGGAGAGGACGGCCTGGAGCTCCCTAGTTGGGATGCTGCCCCCACGACCCGGACCCGGATAAGCGGAGGAAGACGAAGACGTAAAGAGTAAAACCCAAACACACACAGAACAATTTACACAATTTACAAAAATGTACAACGTAAGCAAAATGATTTTAGAAAGAATCTTTAGATTCGTAACAATTACAGCGGTTAAGATAATAAAAATACTCAGTACTTCCGGTACCTCTGTGGCGTAGAGAATGTCAATTATCTTGCTGAGGACGGGGTTGTTTTCACTCTCGTGTTCCTGACAGATGAGCTCGATGTCCCGTAGTTTGCTGAAGTAGAAGTCCCTCTCCTTCTCTAGACCATCTACAGTCAGCTTCAACTCCATCAGCTTGAGAGACAGAGAAAATGTGTTAAAGCTGCTGGTCTATGACCTGTATGATAGAAAATAACCATAATTAACACTACAGTATGTTTACATACTGCATTTTCATTTTGGACCTGACTGCATTGTTCTGAATACCAGAAAAGCACTGATTCCAATTTCTGATTGTTGTACAGAATACTTTGACCTGCTGATTTATCTAAAAAAATCTCTAATTAATGAAATATTTCAAAAAATATCATAAGTTATCTTTATTATTAGATCTGGAAGAAATGCTGATTTCACAGACTGGTAAAAATGTCTGAAATTCTGTTGTTGTTTGGCAACAAGGAATCCACCAAAAAAATAAATAAATAAGCTATAGTTTTAACATTTACGTAACATCTGTGCAGCGCTGAAAGCACCAGACAGAATAATTCTGTGCCCTAACAGTAGTTTATGAAAGTAGTCAGACAAACGAGAGGCACCTGGCTGCCACTGGGAGAACACTCCGTGTTCTCACTACTCTGTAAACAATCACAAACAACGTGTCTTAAAGTTGAAAACAGAAGTTTAAGTTAAAACAGAAACACTCTGAATCTTTTCTGATGATTTTCTAAACAATTCTGTCGGGGAAATATATGTGTCTGAGACGAGTCTCTGTCTAAACATCACATGCATTACTATCATTAAGCAGCGAGGTGTGTTGAAGCTGTCATCAGCTAAGGGGCGGATGCTTAAGTGTATCAGGGGCAGCGAGGAACGTGGAAGTTGTGATCAGGCTGGAGATCACACCAGATTCGCTGCTGCAGGCATGAATCTGCGGGTCTGCAGCATCCCCTTCTTAACGTGACAGCAGAACTTCCCATGTAAGGAAGGTCCACTCACCTGTTCGTCACATTATTATTTCCTCGCCATGACCTTTTATCATCCCATCATCCTCCAGTCATCCAACTGGAACCAGTTAGTGTTCCTGATCATTCTCAGAATGTGCCATGCCTGCTCCGGTGTTAAAAGTTAGTACATTTAAGTCCTAGATCATATTTGTGCCTGTTCTACTGTCATTTTGAAGGATTATTATTTATGTGTTTTTACTACATTATGAGTAGAAATGCTAATAAAAACTCCCAATTATACAAACAAGTGAAACTGGAAAAATTTGAATCTGGTGCAAAGTCAAATTTATTTCAGTCATTCAACTAGACAGAGAGACCATTTAAAGGCTCAGGAACCCTTTGCAGGTGTTTTCTATTTGTAATTATAAATTTTAGTTGATTTGGGTCTTGTTTCATATCACAGTGACATTTGAATAATTAAACTGCATTTTTTTATTACAAGCTTTAGTTTACAGTAATAACCATGTCTAATGTTTGATTCTCTGTCTCATAATTTTAATTAAAAGTTTTGTTTTGAGAGCACATTTTCCTGAACGATTAAAATGCGATTAATTTAGATTAATTAATTACAAAGCCTGTAATTAATTGGATTAAAATTTGTAATCAAGACCCAGCCCTTATATATATACACACACACACACACACACACACACACACACACACACACACACACACATATATATATATATATATATATATATATATATATATATATATATATATATATATATATATATATATATATATATATATATATTCTATCCTGCTTTTGTTTGTATGTGGTTTTTTAGGACTTTTTATCACTCTTGTTTTATTTGAATCTACCGGTATGTTATGTTCAGCGCCCTGGGCTTCCACAGAGGCAGTGGAAGGCGCTCTATAAATAAAGATTGATTGATTGATAATTAACGTGTTAAAAGTCCTACCCCTCACACACACACACACACACACACACACACACACACACACACACACACACACACACACACACACACACACACACACACACACACACACACACACACACATATATATATACATACATACATACATACCGGCATGTTAAATATTTACCTGTTGATTTAGCTCCATAACCTCTGCGTCGCTACCCCCGTTTCTAGACAAAGATGGATTCTTCCTGATGGCGGGCATGTTGTGCTGGACTCGCTGTGGCATCGGCATGTTTTTGGGAACCGTCGGAGATGTCCGCTGTGGTCCTGAAATATTTAGAGATGCACTGAGATGTTAGGCAATTAAAATATCACAAACAAACTTACTGCACTTTATCTCTACAGCAACTGCGGCGATGGATTGAGCACATTATAGAGCGCTGATACTGTCAGCATAACACATGATGCACCTTAAGTTTATTTTTGAAAATAGATTTTTATTAAGACCTCATATTGTTAATTTAATAGTAAAATACTGTAAATGTATGAAGAAAAGAACTGTCAAACCTCTATAAGTGCTTCAGCAAAGAGATCTAAAAAAATAAATAAATAACATGCTAGAGCGCATTTATCACAGTTCTGAAAATAAATGCAGCACTTTTGCAGATTTCTAACTAGCAACAGCCACAAAGCTGGCTTTAGACACACTGAGTCAAACATGAATGGTCGCCATGATTTCCAAGCAACACAGAAAAGGGAGGCAAGCTGCCATCACTCTTGTTAGTAAAAGTAGACTCTTTGTTGCTATTTTGGGTCATCAAACCAGCTGTCAGAGAGCTAAAGCTGTCTCTGAGTTGCTGTGGGATGCAAGACACTGGGGAAATAACTGGATTCAATAATACTGGATTTGAATTTTGCATCCACAAAAAAAGTCACAAATTGGGAGTTGCATCCCACTATTGCACCGTGGGGACACAGTCATACCTCCAGTGTCACATTAAGATGAATTCTAGAGCTCGTTGGTCATTGTCAGTCGTGCTGCTCAAGCTGCTAGCTTACAGGCAGCGCTTTCGAGCCATCCAAAGTTCAGCAAGACTGCGCAGCAAAGGCAAAGTTTTTAGGTTTACCTGGATTTCTCTTTGGTTTGTAGATAAAGTGATCACCTGGATTGGGAGTAGGGGCCACATCCTGCCCTTGTCTGGCTAGAATCGGATCATACTCCTTCCCGTCGTAGTTGGCGTCAAAGAACTTCTTGAACCACTGCACGAATTCAAAGTTATCTTGGAACTTTCCTTTTACGAGCTTTTCTACAGGAATTATCTGGACAGGAGAAAGAGAAAAACACATGTATTCACGCTGTGCTACATTAGGTAAATGATAAAAGCAGGAGATCAAAAAGACTCTAACTTTGTCCACGCTCATCCGTTTGAAAGCTGCTTGAAGAACTTTGAAGTTGTGTATAAATTCGTGCTCCAGTTTGGCTTGAAATTTGACCTTCTTCAAAAGAATGCACCCTGGGAATAACATATCCATGAACTGGCAGTATGCAGCTCCTGGTAAACAGAGAAACACGTTGTTTCTTCCTCCTAAACTCACTGAAGAACACATGTGGGAAAATCTCTCCTTTTATTAAGTTAAGCTCACCTGAACAGAGCTGCTCAATCTTGGTGTAGGTGAGATGCAGAGAATCGTTGACCCATGCCAGCATGTCATGTCGACTGAGGTTGTCAATGGACACAGACGTGGCGTACACATTCACTGCCATCCCTTCCTGACATGAAAAATACAATTACATAATACATAATAGACTTTGAACTATATCATAAAGCACAGGAGTTCCTCAAGGATGTGTGCTCAGTCCTGTGGTCTTAAGTCTTCTGACTCAAACCAGCTCAATAATTTAACGGATGGTACAACAGCGGTGGGCCTAATAATTAGCAATGATAATTAATAGGGATGTCCCGTTCCAATATTGATATCTGAAGTAATTCGACATCGGCCCAAAAACATTGTATCGGATTATGTTGAACAGCATCTAAAATCTCCGATATAAGCAGTCCGTTAAAGTTCATAATTTTGCAACCAACGGTTAAGAAAATAATAGTCATTTTTTTCATACTTACTGTTATTGGCACTTGTTTTCCAACTGAGTAATATCACTTGACCAAGCCTTTCATAGATTCCACATTATGAAATAGGTAAAAGTATGTATGATATGTGCTGATATCGTATCAGATTGCTACCGGCATCGGTCAATACTGAAGGCTGCAATATCGGTATCGTATCGGAAGTGAAAAAGTTGTATCGGGACCTCCCTAACAATTAATCATTTTAAAGAGCAACAGTTAGTAGGCCGGTGTAAAGACAACACTTTGTTCTATGTTTTAGATAATTAACTGTAACTTTTCACCGAAAAGATCTCAGTATGTAGAAACATTTAGGTGAAAAAGAATCCAATTTCACAAATTTTAACAGAGTTAGGCAAAAAAGCAGCAAAGACATGTTTTTAAACATGTATCCGGAGTGGAGCCCTTATGGCATAGTACAAAGGGTGGGCTGGTTCTGATTCACTCACTCATTGGTCTGGATCTGGAACACAACCTGGACTTTAAGAACAGCTACTCCTGACTGTTAGCAGCCAGAGACAGCCATGAACTGTAACGTTTTCATCGTGATTATGCTAAATATATCTATAAGAGGTCAAATATATGATTTTCTTCCATCATTAGGGTAAACCCTGCACAACAACGCATTTTTCTCCACCCGACAGCCACAAAGAGTAACGTCAGCTGTAATTAGATTATTTAAACGTGTTTCATTTATTTACCACTGCTCGAGTCAGTGAATGCACCTTGACCAATGAGTACTACACCCCCCAGAGGTTTCGTTTGCCTGCCTCACAATTACTTGATTATTACTCATAATAATACCGATTCCAGCGTCTAAGCCCGTTACAGGACAGGATAAATGCTCGGGCTCCTGCTGCAGTGGCATTAATGAACAAGGAGAGGCGCCGAAAGGGAAGTCAGCATTTCTACTAAAAAAGGAGCCGGGCCTTGGAGAGGAGCTCATGAAAACCCAGCTAGGAGACCGCTGAGCTCCGCAGATGACCGGGGCGGAGGTCTGACGTGTTCAGACGGAGCTGAGAACAACAAAAGCTCCTGATAGCTGGGAGGCTTTCTGGTTAAAAAGCCGCAACGCTGGTGCTGCTGTCCTCCTCCTAGCGGCCCCTCTACAGGCCTCCCCAGAATGCCTCCGGACTGCCAGTGCACGCTGCGTGGGAATAAAGCACAACACCCCTCCGCCCCCCGGCGATGCTGAAAGAATGGACGAACCGAATCGAGCCGGTCACGGAGACTCACTGTGCTCTGGTGAGGCGGTGTTGTTATCACGCTGACAGTACTCCTTCCTCTCGGGGGTGTCCGCTGCTGTCGTCTGTGCGGTGCTGCTTAGTAACGAGCCGCCCTGTCTGCAACAATCCGGACTCTACCGCGCATGCGCGCGGCTCCATGCTGGCTGTTCCTTATAAATAGGACTTTTGGCCGGGGTTCAGGTGTTACACCAAATTCTGCGACCTAACACAATTTGTGACCCCCAGGAGGCAGTGTTGCGTTTTGTTGCGTCTGTACATCCTGAATTGGCATAAAAGAAAGATGCTACGTTAAACCAAAACCGTGAACAGCTTAGAGAAAGTTGTGCGGCGCGGACCGTGGATATTAAAAAGAGCGTTTGTTAATGTTTATTGCAAACAAACGGGACATTAAATTGGCATACCACTGTGTCAATTTTTTTCAAGTTTTCTATTTGTTAAAATCAAAATGTTGGTGCAAGACTAAGTGTGGCTGATGTTACAGTAAGGTCACACAATATGATAGTGGCTATTACAGAATGTGGACATCTGCATCTCAGTAATAATGCAGATGTCAAAGGTCAAATGCACTTTGTTATAAACTACATCATCAGAGAAGTTACCAGAAACAGTTTATGTGATGTAAAAGTCATAACTGAATTTGCAGTAAGGTCACACAAAATGATAGTGGCTATCAGAATGTGGCCATCTGCATCTCAGTAATTATGCAGTTATCTTTAATTTTCGCTAAAGATAATGACAACAAAAGTTGTTTCGTGATGTTTGTGTCATTTTATTTCCCTTTTATCTCCACCAGTACATATGAGTGGCATTGGAGTGACGGGAAAAAACCCGCAGCAACCAGATAATCTGCAGTGGTTTCTAATAAACTGAGGATGTGGATCACAACAATTAATTTCAATAAATGGACCTTCTGAACATTTTACCTGCTGACCTCGCATGTTGTAAAATCAATGTTTAACGTTAGCAAACATTTCTTGTCAAAGCCCTGCTTATCACTGCATTTATTGTCCCGTTTGTTTGCAATAATCATTAACAAACGCTCTTTTTAATGGCCACGGTCCGCGCCGCACAACTTCCTCACGGTTTTAGGGTAGCATCTTCTTCCTTTATGCCAAATCAAGATGTACAGACGCAACAAAACGCAACACTGCCCCCTGGGGTCACAAATTGTGATGGGTCGCAGAATTTGGTGTAACACCTGCTAGAGACACAAGCATGGACGTAATTTTCTCTTTAGAAGTGGGGGGGACACGGAGTGGGGGGGGGGGGGGGGGGGGTGAATCATTACAGTATGCTCTAATGGGAAACAGGCTTCAACACAAACGGTTGTTTTCTGCTTGGTCCTAGAGCTCAACTAGTGTCAATTTAATATAGCGTAATATTGTTTTTGGATGATAAGAAGTGCAGGGGTCAAACCAGGGGTCAAACCTTGACTTTGGAAAAGTCCCCCCCCCCCCCCCCCCCCCCCAAATTACGTCCATGGACACAAGGGTCGGGTTGGGTTTAATCTGGTACTGACAGAGGTTTCCAAGAGGTCAGGCTATAAAGTGACTGGTTCTGAATCTGATACCAAAACATGCTTTCAATTTTAGGCTCGTATCAAAAATATGAAAAACAAGCCACTAACTAGAATTTGTCAGCCCTCTTGTGTTTCTGTGGCCTTTCAAAGTAAAATCAGATTTTTGATTAATTTCCACAATCCAGAAATGTCATACAGTTAGAAGGAATATGGGCTACATAAAACCAACCATTAAAGAGAGTATTGGTAAAATAAAACACGTTACCTTATGTAGTTTTAATTTCTTCCATAATTTGATAGTAAGTTCTCTCACTGAATCATACATATGATCTAGCTGAAACATTGTGAATTAAACATGAACATGATCTTTTTAGTGCGCAATGAAATTTGTTAAAAAACAAGATGAAAATGATGAGATACTGTCAACATCGAATACATCATGCTTTAATTTTGAAAAACAATGTCAGATCGGACTGAAACTGGCTGAAACCAGCTGTTACCAGCTAGGATCAGCTCCAAAAGATTCTTGATGAGGAGTGAAGACAAGTCATAGTAAGTCGATAAGGAGATAAGTACATTTTGCGCCATTAACACCTCGTGATTTTTATCTTGAGAGGCGCTATAGAAATGACATTTTCTTCTTCTTCTTCTTTCACTGTAATGTTGAGCTGTTGGTAAGTGAAGCAGCTAGAAATGTTTTTAGAGCAGACTATTTACTTCTAAATCATTGTTAGCATTGTTAGCTCAACGTTAGCATTTAGCCTTTGTTGAACCCTGAACCCCAGCTTGAGATCTCTCCGGCCAGAACTGGAAAACATTTGAGACCAGCTCTGCGTCTCTCAGGTCTGAAACCCTTATGTCTGTTGAGCATTACCCAATACAGGATCTTTATAACTTGGTGATGAGGAGAGTCACCTATAGACTCTGCCGTCATTCCTCCGAACATTTACCCTGCTTCCAAGGCCGGATTATAATATGGGGAAACTGGGCACAGGGCCAGGAGCCCACAACCACAAGGGGGCCCACGTGAGCAGCAGTCTTTTTTTAATTAATTTTTGTATTTTTTTGTGCAGCAGTCTTAACGTTGGAGAAAAAAGTCAACAAGTAATTAAACTTGAGCCCGCATTTTCCAAGTTAACACACATTTCTTTTAACAACGGTAGTTTTTGCATCTTTACTGCCTGCTTCAGCCCTCTCCCCCCTCCCCCAGCACAGCAGCCGCAAACTCACTGATGCGCCTGCAGCCTCTCAGAGTTCCTGCTGATCTAAACATTGAAAGAATCATTTTATTTTCTGTTCCTCACTTCTGATTACCGTCAGTGGTGTCTGTTTGTTGCTACCAGGTGCAAAAACGAACTTGTTTTTTATTTGACTATTTTTCTGTCCTGTCTGTTTATTATCTTCATGCATTTCCTCTCAATCCTGAAGAAAAACTGCTACCTGGCTTCATATATTCACCTCATGAGTTGCCTTTGAACTGCATTTCTAAAAGATCTACTGACCGCAAAAATAGCGGAGTGAGTGCTGCGCGCCGGCCACACCGGTGCGGTGAAGTCACCGGAGGATGAAACAGGTAATGCGCTCACTCCGCAGCAGCAAAACGCATCAGACACAAATAAAAGCAGAATGCATGAAAGGATGTGAGCCGACATAAACGATCGCGTGTTAAATTTATTTTTGAGGTGGCGACACTTTGATAATGTTACTGCGGCCATGCTCAGGACGCATCTGTCTGGAGTGCATCAACGATCAGAGCTCTGCGCGTCTCTGCCCAAAATGATCCCCAGAGAGTCCACATAGATAATTTGATATAAGCAGTATCAGGATCGTTTTCGGGCTAAAAAATAGTCTACAGTCCATCTTCCCTAATGTGTTTGTGGCCCTGCGTATTTTTCTAACACTACCTGTTACAAATTGTGAAGGGGAATGATCATTTTCACAAATGGCAAGAATAAAAAATTAACTGAGAACAACACTAACTCATCACTGCACTGTCACTGATGGCTATTGAATCTCAGCTTGTCAGGTATCTGGACGTGACGTTGTAAATGCATTTACTAATAGAAAGGCCAGAAAGCAGTTTTTCTGAAGGCAAGAGAGGAGGCCAACAAGAGGAGACAAAAAGAGGAGTAATGAGACAGGAGACAAGAGGAGTAAGGAGACAGGAGACAAGAGGAGGAAGGAAACAGGAGACAAGAGGAGGCAGGAAACAGAAGTCAAGATGAGGAAGGAGACAGGAGACAAGAGGAGGAAGGAAACAGGAGACAAGAGGAGGAAGGAAACAGGAGTCAAGAGGAGGAAGGAGACAGGAGACGAGGAGGAAGGAGACAGGAGACAAGAGGAGGAAGGAAACAGGGCTCAAGAGGAGGAAGGAAACAGGAGTCAAGAGGAGGAAGGATACAGGAGACAGGAGACAACAGGAGGAAGGAGACAGAAGACAAGAGGAGGAAGGAAACAGAAGTCAAGAGGAGGAAGAAGACAGGAGACAAGAGGAGGAAGGAAACAGGAGTCAAGAGGAGGAAGGAGACAGGAGACAAGAGGAAGAGGAAGACCGGAGACGAGGAGGAAGGAAACGGGAGTCAAGAGGAGGAAGGAGACAGGAGACAAGAGGAGGAAGGAGACAGGAGACAAGAGGAGGAAGGAAACGGGAGACAAGAGGAGGAAGGAAACGGGAGTCAAGAGGAGGAAGGAGACAGGAGACAAGAGAAGGAATGAGACAGGAGAGAAGAGGAGGAAGGAGACGGGAGACAAGAGGAGGAATCAGACAGGAGACAAGAGGAGGAAGGAAACAGGAGTCAAGAGGAGGAAGGAGACAGGAGACAAGGGAGGGATGGAGAGAGAAATCCAGTAACATCCTGATCAGGAATCGACCGTTTTCTCCCGCTGGTCCAAGTACCATCGGCCCTACTCTGTCTGTCGACCTCTTTTTCAGTGAAAAGAAAACTGTCGGAAATACAGATTTAGGGGAAAATATGTAACCCGACAAAACCACGAGAATCTTGGGAGCCGGCCGGGTAACCATGAACTTAGGGCATTTCTAACTGCTACTATCTTTGACTTCGGATATTTGGAACATCTCCGGCTGTCTTCAGAAAAGCCACAGGTCTTCTTTAAGTCAAAAATATTATTCTTCACCCATTTTGGTCATCAGCCTTCCATCCAGGGTGGTCTTATTGAAGGATATAAACAGATCAACGCAGCTTCTGCTTTTCCTTGCCTCTTTATACCTTTCTGGCCCAACCCTAGTTCAAGCCTATTCATTGAGCTATACAGTTTACTTAAAAGGAAATTTTAAGGATAGAAAAAACCCAAGGACTACATGACTTCTGCTTTTCTCCTGCTCCTCTTATCTCACCTCAAGGCAAACCGACAAGTCCTCCCCCCTGTTTTCAGTACTTCTCTTTTTCAGCTACCAGACCTAAGTGGTAAACAAGATTTATGTAGCTGCACAGGTCTGACGAAATAATGGCCACAAATCATACGGGTGTCTTTGAAGATTTATTCTTGCCTTTATCTTTCTCTTCCTCCATCAACACCGTGAAAACAATAAATAAAGAACATCTGGCTCAGATCTTGTAATTACAGTTCTCTTTTAGAGCCTGAAAGGTCTCAAATTCAGTACAGCAATACAAGTAAAGAAATAAACATCACCATAATTAGTAATATTTACATCTTAAATAAATTAAAAACAAGATCTTTAA